ATAACTGCCGTTTACCTGCCCTCTATCGGGCCAGCTGATGCACGATAATAATAGAATATAATAATATAACTCAGTAGGTACTCACTGAAGTGAGTGACAGAGAGCGCATTTTCTCGTCGACGAAAACGTGAAGTAACGGACGGACGGACGGACATGGCAAGCACAATAGTGCATTTTTTTCATAAATGAGAAAATGCGCTAATAATATAGTATAGTGGTTTCAGCGTTTATAAGGCCGTAGGCCTGTCCCCGAGTCTTAACATTGCAGAACATCCACAGCTTGTTGCGGTCTTGAACTCGCAACTCACTGCTTCACATTTTCTTTGCTTAACCGCTCGGCCTCCTCGCCGATTCTAACCAGAAACTGGTGCAAAGAGCTGGCATCGAACCCGCGCCTCTCTGCGCCAATCTTGGTACTCTGAACTTTAACCACTGGGCCACCCTTAACGATGGTGCGATGGTGGAATCAACGATGCTGTTGCTTCGTTGGTAGTGAGGCAGATACGGATGATGGTATGGGATGGTTGTCAGTAACACGTCAAGTTAGGGTGAAGGTCTCCAGGGTGAAGCAAGGCTCATCGGCAAGGCGTTGAACATCCTCGGCCCGCGCTACGGAATGAGATCCTCCTCGCAGAAATTGAACGCTGACCGGAGCTCTGCTGTGTAGTATGGGTAGCATTGGCTGTCTAACACTCCTAACACTGTTATTCTTGTGATGTCATAATCCTGGAGGTCTCGCTTTTGAAGTTAGGAGCCAGCCCTAACTTCAAATTATTATTATTTTCCACGTTGACAGAACGACATGCTCTCTCTGCAGTGAGTACAGACCCAGGCACTTAAGACTTCCCCAGTAGTTCAGGTCCTCTATCCCGCTGATGGAGGAACTTGATCGAAGGTTCGTTGGATCGCTTCCTATCGCCGCACCGCGCCGACCGTGAACAGGGTCCAAAGCTGACAAGATTCGCGCAATTTATCGTCTAACTCTTGCAGTTATTGCCGCAATTTGGTAACATTAACTCATTTTAACTTCGAGTTCGCGTAAGTGTTGCAGCTCTTCAATTGGCCAGGTAGCGGTGTTCTATGCCGACGCCTCTGAGCTCCGTAGCTCAAAACCTCAATCTTATAGTAACGTTGAATTGCGTTTTGTGTCATTGGGCCTAGTCATGTATTGCAGCTAGTCAGGTCCTTATGCATGCAACTTTTCGCAGTCTGTCCTGTCCGTGATTATCATACGCACCTTCGAGTCGTCGTCATCCTAGTGTCGTCCGTGAATGTTGAGGAATGGCTCACTTCCATGGTCGGCGATGTGGATGAAAAAGAGGACAGGAACTAGCACCGTTTGCTGTTGTACTCCACTTTCAACCCTCGCCTCGCTTGACGTCAAGCTTCCAACAACGACAGTTTGTAATCTGTCGGTTTGGAAGTTATGAATCCTCGACATTAATTTTCCTCGACCGCCAAAACTCTTAGATTAGGAAGAGCACTCCATGATAAACTTTACAAAAGGCCTCCGCCTCTCCATATCCCCAGAGTCGGTCGCCATTTGTTTCGACAAACTCGTTCGTTTTCTCGTGAGGATTCGTCTTTCCTTGGAATTAGGCGTACTTTGGTTTTGTGTGACGAGAGCACACATGCAATAATAAACGGTTGTTCTAAATAATTTAAACACCAATGGAAAGAGAAAGATTCAATTTTTCACATATATATAAATGTTCGATATGTTTCCCTTGTGATGCACGGCAAACATCTAAAGTTCGTCCCACACACGAGAAAGCATATCATCAGTTTTTTAGTGCACCGTAGCAGTGATACGGTTCTTCAGATCAACCAGAGTTGCTGGTAGAGGCGGGACGTAAACAGAGCTGCTGGTAGAGTCGGGACGTAAACAGAGTTGCTGGTAGAGGTTGGACGTGACCAGAGTTGCTGGTAGAGGCGGGACGTAAACAGAGTTGCTGGTAGAGGCGGGACGTAAACAGAGTTGCTGGTAGAGGCGGGACGTAAACAGATGTAAACAGAGTTGCTGGTAGAGGCCGGACGTGAAGAGTTGCTGGTAGAGGCGGGACGTAAACAACTTCCTTGACGTAGCCCCATAAGAAAGTCACGTGAGATCATGTGATCTACGTGGCTAGAAGTGTATATCAAATCCTATGCGTCCTATATACTTAAAACGCTCAGGACGTGACTGATTCAAAAAGTTTCGAACATCAGGATGCACTGAGGCATCCCAATTCCGCGTTTGAACAGGTTAAAAAATGAAATCTTGCTCATTCAATTGGTGTATGAATTATTCATTTTGAATTTACACCTAAATATTTGCGAATTTATTAAATTGTGTCCATCATTTAGATTTAGAAAAACCCTGTACTGCGTACAGCTTCTTGCACATTGCTTCGACATTTAACTCCAGGAACTCTGATTTTCAGTCGACTTTAAGGAGTTCGTTTCCAATGGCCTTCCGGTCCGTTCTTCCTGGCCGGAAATTTTGTCTGACCAGACCCTCTCGAGGTGTATTTTGGGCTTGTGGTCTAGCAGTCAGACCTCCACCACGGTCTAGCAGTCACACCTGTTCAGTCCACCCACCTGGTTTGGGAATGCAGCAGGCGGGGTGCAGGCGTCGGGTTTGGGAATGCAGCAGGCGGGGTGCGGGCGTCGGGTTTGGGAATGCAGCAGGCGGGGTGCGGGCGTCGGGTTTGGGAATGCAGCAGGCGGGGTGCAGGCGTCGGGTTGCCGTCGTCTGCAGGCTCGCTGTCGCCCCTGGGAAGCGACGCTCTACGGCCCCGCTGGGAAATCAGTGAAGCCGTCACCGCGCTACCTGGTGAAGTACATTGTACAGTACACTGTATAGTGTACTGTACTGTATTGTACCGGTACCCTACATAGTGCAGTGCACTGTACTGTACCCTGCATAGTGCAGTACATTGTACTGTACACTGCGTAGTGTACTGTACCCTACGTGGTGCAGTGTATACTGTTCAGCACCATGCACTGTATTTAACACTGTTTAACAACGTCAGCACCTTTCAGTGCAGTGCCGTCAGAATGCTCTGTAAACCGCACTGTGCTATTCATCCGGCGTGCCATCTGCATGCGCAGTGTAGCGTGCACTGTTGATTCAGCTTCCTACCACAATCCATCCTCTATTGCTATACCCTACCCTCACTATTGTTATTAACCCTCATGCCCCTCATTGCAGGCACGGCAAAGATGCGCCCTCACTCAGCACGCCCCACCACCGAGGGCTGAATGGACCACCTCTTCGTCAGTAGCGCCCTCCGGTCCGTCAGCCGCGTTGCCAGATTCAGGTGCTGGCGGGGGAAGGGGAGCTAGCGGAGTGCAGTGCTGGGTCTTGGGTCTGATTAAGCTCAAAAATAATGCATTTATTGAGGTGTCTAGTCGGGTTCTACTAATTACATGTCTTCAATGAAGGGGTATAGTTTTTATTATAAGAACGTCAATGAAATGTCAAATGAGAAAGTCTAGTTAGGTGTCTATCGACATCTAATGAGCTGCCGAGTGATGCGTCTAGTGATAAGATCTTAACCCTCTACCGCTTGACATGAGTAACCGGAGCAATATTGTCACAAGCCTACTTCCCAAAAAATATACTTGATGATTGATCATGTATCCTGAAGATACTTGATGGTTGATCATGTACGGTATCTTGAAGATACTTGATGGATACGTGATGCCTACTTCCAAAAAAGATACTTCCTGAAAGAACTGATGGTTGCCGCCACGTACGACAACTTTAAAATGTTCTCTGTTGCGTACAAACGTCCTCATGTTGCTACACTCAATAGGTTACGTACAATTTAAGTGGAAAGTTATGTTCACTTTCAAAACTCGCTAAGTGAACGTAAGTACTTACGCTCTAATTTCTTGTCTATGATTGGTTGATTTTGCTTGGAAGGCCGTCAATAATTGGCTGATGAACTTACGATCTCTTAACTTTTTTTGAAAGTATAGGCCCCGGAGAGTGACATATACGGCGGTATAGAAGGTTAAGGCAAGTAATGAGAGACAAGAACTCAGACAGGCTTGGCCGCTTCTTATCAAATTTCGTCAGTAAGTAGGTTCACCTTTACTAAACTCGTAAATGAGATACCTAACAATATGAAATTTTCCATGCCTATCCTGCTATTAATTTGCTTTCTGTGGAAAGTAACAAAAATATGCCAGTTAAAACGGCTATAATGAAGGGAAATTCAGCACTTTTATCCTCATGAATGATGCGACAAATTTTTTTTGAGGTGTATATTGATGTTACTGTTTATTTTCCACTGATTGGTATATCGGACATTTCTCTATCTGCCTCCTTGTTGTAGATATTCGCCAGTCGCCACCAAATACTAGCTAAAAACGAACACGCTCACATGTGCAGTGAAAATTCCGAATACCATCAGTTCCGATGAAGGCGTTGTGGAAGGAATGAGGGGAAACTGTCATGGAAAATTACTGAGCTGTCACTGCTGCACGAGGGTGGTATTGGCCACTGACCGCTGGCCATTCATCGGCCACTCGGAAACCCCAATTTGCCCAAAAATGCGTGCTGGCTCAGATATCGCCTAACAAAGACTTCATGCTCGAGAGTAACAATTTCCCGAAGTTAGAAATGAGCACAAACTTCACGCCGTAGTCCCAAACACTTGCTTTTCCAAATACTCGCTCCGCACTGTCAATACCATTCTTAAAAGGTGCCAAATCGTTGCATGATTAATGACGTGTTTAATGAAGAAATGTATCGAGCACCCACAATAACGTGCTGCACCAGCTGCGGCCATTTGTAGATAAGCGCTTTGATGAGGGTTGAATTAAGGACTGTGATGAGTGTGATGTGTGTGATGTGGCGTGTGATGTGGCGTGTGAAGTGGCGTGTGATGTGGTGTGTTATGTGGCGTGTGATGTGGCTTGTTGTGTGGCGTGTGATGTGGCGTGTGGTGCGGGCATCTTCTTGAACTGAAATTAATTATTTATTGCGTGTGCAGATGGACGGTTACCCCAGACCCCCGACGTACTACCACCCCAGCAGCGGCGCCGGCAGTTCTACAGCGTCTCTCCCCTACGCGGACGCTCCCACCTCTGCCGCCCACACCTACCCAGAAGTTGGCTACCACCTACCAGGTTCAGGCGGCCGTACAGGCTTCCCCTACCCTGGAGCTGCGGCCCCTTACCGTGGGGCTCAGCAGGGGCATCAGGTGGACTCGTACTCTTCCTATTATGGGGCGCTAGAGCAGCCTGATCCCCTCCGTGGGGCGTCGCTCCCTCACCAGTATCCGTCGAGCGCCCATACGGCGTCTAGGCAGCCCCAGCAGCAGCATGCGCCGCCACTGCATCAAGCGAGGCTCTCAGTGGACCCCGACCCCAGACCCCGGGCTGAGTCGTCAGGGTCTAGTTCTTTGTCTACGAAAGTCCCGCCCGACCCTTTGGCGGGCCATGGGCATGCGTCCCAAGACAAAGCAAGAGGAAAAGCTGCAGGTGGAGGAGGTGCAGGAGGTCCTCGATACAACAACCCTAATGCCCCCGCTACCAACACCTCAACGGCGAGCCTTCCCCTCCAGTACCCCGGCAACACGCACACCTACGGGGCACGTCTTGAGAACCCCAGCGGTGCTGCCTACGCCAGCAGGTACAAGCCTTACGAGGATGCAGACCGTGGCATGTCTATGGAGGCGCAGCAATCACTCAATCACTCCTCAACAGCTGCTCAGTATTACTCATCGTCTGCCATGAACGCGATGCTGCAACAGCAGCATTATCAGCAGCACCTGCAGCAGCAGACGAAGCAGCAGCAGTCTCAGAAACAGCCTCAGGGAAGCAGAGCTACATCCTCCAAAGAGAAGAACGCTCGCAAGGCAGAGCTCAAGTACCTGGCCACGAAAGGGTCAGAGCAGCTGTTTGCGGCACCCAAGCCTGAACGCTCTTACAATGTCGCCCATCCAATCGAGGAATCAATGACATATATAAAGCGGGTCAAAAACCCGTACGCTTCCGTCGAGTATTTAGACTCTTTGGAGCAGAATCCGTCGAGGAATATGCAGGAATCATTGAAGGAAGAGCATACGTCGACCTTAACTAACGGCAGCAGAGAATGGGGCCGCGCTGGATTCGAGTATATGCCAAAATCTTCGCCGTCTTCGAATTCTGTTCAATCTTCTCACGTTAGTAGAGCTCCTGACGATGACGCACTAGACCTCTCAATAAAGACTTTACGGAAGACTCCAGATTCAACAGCCCCGGACTTCGACTCTGGTGGAGCCCTGAACTTGGTAACGAAACCACAAGCAACTTCGTCGAGCCAAGTTTCCAGTACGGAAACGATGATGCCTCATGAGCGAGATACCCCGCAGTACTCTACCAACCCATTCTGCGATGACGCGAACTACGTGGCCAAGAAGTCCTTCAAACGTTCTGCAGAGATGCCTGATGAAGGGGCGTATAAAAAATCAAGAATAGAGGGTCCTGGGAGGCACGACCTCTCAAGAGCCCCCGACGTGACGGTGGACCCACGTAACCCTGCTCACCAAGGATCAAAGGAACGCGCGCGCTACAAAGGTAACAGCAGACCTGCTTACGAGCAGGATAAAGCTCACTACCAGAATGCTTATTTCCTCGGCTATGGACAGTCCATGATAGGGGTTGCCGGGGACCCCATGCCCGCCAATATGCTCGCCGAGTTCATGAAGGTGACGGAGTCAACAGTAACTGCGGTGGAGCGTAAGCCCCGAACTGTGTACGAGTCACTGGGCGGGGAACTGAGCATTACTTTGGCTAGTCAATCACCAAATGCCCGCAGCCTGAAGTCGGAGGAGAATAAAGCTCGTTCATCATCCGTCAGCATGGCAGGCTTCGCACATGGCGGCATGATGGCCGTGCCTTCGCGTGTGCCCAGCAGCACGTATGCCGCACAGCACATGACCGCCGAGGCGGCCGCCTCCCTCATGGCGGACGAGCGGACCATCACTCGCTTACCCCATCGCAGTGTGGTCATGGCCGCCATGGCCACCAGCTCCGCGGATGTCGCCATTTCTTCGTCCAGCGTGGATAATTTGTCCTACGGGAAGGACAGAGGCCTCGGTCCTCAACCCAACGACCAATTCGCTTTTGCTGCCCCCGTCAGGCTGTCGCCGTTGGCGAGGCAGTCGCCACAATCTTCAGCCCCGCATAACCCCAGTAGATCCCCGCAGGTCTCAATGTCTTCCTACTCCGAATACTCTACCCAGGGCGTTACTGGCTATTCTAGACAATCTCCACAAGCCCGGCAATCCCCATCGTACCCCATCGGACAATCTAGTCGAACTTCTCCTCAAACGCGTCAATCCCCACAAAGCTCTCATCACCCCAGACAGTCTGCACCAGCACACTCCAAGTTGCCATCTCCCAGCTGTTATCCCCACGAACCTCGCCCATCTGATCAGATAGCAAAATATTCTTGTTTTCCTGACGATCAAGAAGTAGGGATATCAAGGGACGCCGTGAATACATCCTCAACGAGCGCATCTTCTTTGCACCCTCGCACGTCTTCTCCGTCCACATCCCTGTCCAGGACCTCGAAACATTTGTCCCTCCCCCCCAGTCCCCTGCTTGGTCATGTCCCCGCCGAGCACCCAAGTCGTCCTTCCCCCCAATCACAGGACACCTCCTTCATCCTGCCCAGGTCAGCGCCACCTTCCTTCCGGCAGTCTCCTTACTCCTCAGAAGGAGGACGTGGTGGGGATGTTAGTCCTCACCATCCTTCGCCACAGCCCATCGCTTCCGAGTCTTCGGTCCAAATAAATCGCAGTTTGCGCACTTCGTCAGGCCACGTGACTCTTCCTCCTCACATCTTCCCGTCTCCTCGCGCTACGTTACCTTCAACCACATCCACCAATCCTATTCTCTCAAAACCACTCCATTCCTCTTCAAATACGCAAGCCACACCTCCTATCAACAGCACTCCTCACCCGACATCTTCCCCTAATCCTAATGCCCAGCACGTCACAGCTACATCAGAAGTGGATCACCCTGACCCACTAAGGAAATACCCGCCGAGAGAACCCCCAGAGCCGCCCCCCGGCGACCTGCCCGGACAAATGGCGGACCAAAATGGCGTCGGCGAGCTGCTGCTGAGGTGCAAGGAAGAGCCATCCGATGCCACCGATTCTTGCAATTCTGTTCCATCAGAAATATCGAAAACAGATTCACCTAAAACCCAGATAAAAACGGAGACGATTGTTACAGCTGTTGAATGTAGCGTTGAGACGCCCTCTCACTCTGTTGATTTTCCTGCGTCTGTTTGCGGTCGTGGCGCAGAAGGTGTCATTCCAAACGGGAACGCCTCTGCGACCAAGACGCCGCCTTTCCAGACTCGCGACTGGGAGAACAGGAGCCTGGGCGCCTACGAGCTGGTGAAACCCAAAGTGGAAATAGAGTATGACTACCGGACACCAGCAATGTCCACTTCAACAGAAAATAGTGTCGCCTCCCACAGCAGCTTGATGAACGCACCTGAAACAAAACCATCAGCCGCTGAGAAAAAGAAAGGCAAATCAAAATTATCACACGAATCGCCGTCTTCTACCTCAAAGTCTGGACCTAAAAATCCCCAAGTTAAGTCTGGGCCTGGCAAAGCTTCCCAAAAACCCGCATCTGGGGCACCCTGGTCTCATCAGATGCCCCCACACGTGACACCCAAGTCCTCAAACTCATCTTCTAAATCCCCACGACCTGCATCACATTCACCCCACCCTGCTGGCCCCTTGGTCTCTTACTACCCCTACCCAGAATATGGGTACCCTGCGGCTCAGGAGTATCCTCGAGGACTCTATTTCCCTGACGCCCATGCCATGGGGAACAATCCGGAGTACAACAAGGCAGATCCTACGCGATCCTCAGCCCCTGGAGCGGCAAAGCCGCAAAAGTCATCGACAAGCAAGCCACCGAAGAAACCTAGTGCCGTTTCCCCTCGAGCATCTGTCAACCCAGCAGCATCTGTCAACCCAGCGACACCTGTCAAGAGTGAGGTGCCACAGCACTCGTACCCCTACCCCAGCTACCCTGCAGGCCCCTATGGGCGTCACCAGTACGGAGCACCGAGAAGCCAAACAGCCCCTGGTGACTATCACCCCCTCGGGATGTCCGACCACGCGTTGCGTTACCCGACTTATTCAGGGGATCCTTCAGTCCCCCCTCACGGGTATTCTGCAGGTCTGCGGGAAGGGCCTGAGGGCATCGCAGAAGGAGCTTATTATGGCACCTATGACCCCGCCTACCCTGGCCGCAGCTCCTCTCAACTCACCCCCCAACAGGAGGGGAAGAGCGTGGCGAAAAGTGTCGCCTCAGTTCATCCATCATCAACCGATCATATGTCTTCTCATCCATCCCCCCACAGACTTGCGCATCCGTCGGCTTACTCATACGCGTCACCACATTCAGTTGTCCGTCCTGCTTATCCTCATCCACACGCTCCTCATCCACCAGCTCATGGAGAGACTCAATCTGCAGCTCATTCCTCTATTCATCCACCAGCTCGTCCCTCTGTTCATCCCCAAGCTCATCCATCTTATCAGTCGAATCAATCATCTTCTCATCGACCTTCTTCATCCTCTCACCCTTCACCTCACCCTTCTCCTCATCCATCTTCTCATCCATCCCCTCACCCTTCATCACATCCACCTACACATCCACCTACACATCCACCTACACATCCACCTACTCATCCACCTACACATCCACCTACACATCCACCTACACATCCACCTTCACATCCACCTGCTCATCCACCTCACCCTCCTGCACATCCATTATCGCGCACATCCACGTATCCGCCTGCTAGCACGTCAGTTCATCCACCCTCACGATCGCCTGCTCATCCATCGTATTATCCTCCATCTTATTCTCCTCAGCATCCATCGGGTGGCTCCTCCATTCACCCGCCGTCTTACCAATCATCCAATCCTTCCTGTCATCCACCATCTGAGCAATTTACTTCGTCATCAAGTCATCCTTCTGCCCGCACGTCTGTTCATCCTCGTCCTGAAGCTTCCTTACATCCCTCTTCGCATCCGCTTCCCGATTCATCCATCTTTTCTGCATCTCATCCCTCGTTCCATCCACAATCTTCTGTTTCCTCCTCTTCGTCTTCTCACTCATCCATTCATTCTCTTACTCACTCTTCATACTCCACGCCACATTCATCGTCTCATGCCACTCATCCTCCAGCTCACCCCTCCATTCGTCCTCCTACTCAGTCCCCAATTCATCCTCCTGCTCACTCTCCTATTCATCTTCCAGCTCACTCCCCCGTTCATCCTCCAGCTCAATCTCCCTACTCGTCTTATTCACCCTGCAAGCCTCATCCATCTTCTTACACTTATACCCATCCGTTACAAACGTCACATCCATATTCTCACCAGAGTTACTACAAGCCTGATCATCCATACTCTCCTAAATCATCTTATCCACCGCCTCATCCATCCGACAATTGCTCATCCGAGCTCTCATTCAACCAGCCGTTACTGCCCACTGGCCCGACCACTGCTTCATTTCATCCTCACGAGGCGTACTCATCCGAACTCCAGCGTCCCGATGACAGTAAACCTCCAACTGAGCAGCGACCTTTTAATGGAACTGCCACCCATTACCGCCCACCGTCAGGTGCTCAACATGACGCTGAAATGGGTAATGGGGCTGGAGGTAATGGGTCTGCTGCTCCGCCGGCAACAGGACATTCCTCGCTGAAGTGTGTGCCATCAGCGCAGCAACCCTTGGATCAAGGGTCGGCTCAATGGCCCAATCAAGGGTCGGATTCAGGACCTAGTCAAGGGTCAAAGAATCGTTTAAATGTTACCCCAACCACGGCATCGTCGGATGTGACAAAGGGCCACTCATTGCACCAGTACCCGTACTATGATGGACCCACGCAGCACCCACATCCGCCCTACCCAGTGCACCCCAATTACCCCCCACCTCATAATTCTTATCCATACCCATACCCGGAACGTGCATCAGGGGCACATTTCCTTCATCCCAGCTCTGACTACCCACCCTACAGTACCGCCCCTTCATCTGGAGGTCATACCCACTACAGTGCAGACTACCAGCCTCCAGAGACCACCACTCCTTCTTCAGCAGCAGATCTCCCTGTGTCCACCGGAGTGCCCACATTAACTCTGGCCCTGGCGCCCAGTCCCGTCCGTAAGCCCAGACAGCTGAACAACCTTGTCAAACATGGCAGTTGTCCTTTCCCTTCTTCTGCCAAGGCTCGTCAAGGTCTGTCGACAACAGCTACGAACAGTGTCAGCAGAAATGCTGACTCGGGCAGCGCAAACGCGGACTCAGTAAGCCGCAACTCAGACGCTGGTGAAGATTTCGACCCCCTTCGGATCAAAACGAAGGCTGAGCAGAAGATGCTTGTTGGTCGCAAGGCTGTAGGTGTCGGTAACGTTGACGTGCAACAATTGGACAGAAATAAAGGCAGTCCTTTAACTGGAAGTTATTCGCATAACCAGACCAGCAATGTGCTTACGATATCAGCATCTTTAACGCCATTGCAAGCTGAGGTGAAATCTGAGGTTAACGACGATTATAATGAACCTGGCAACTCTGGGACTAAAGAGCCTGAATGCCACAACCCTGATCAAGATGTCTGGGGCAATGTTAACTTCGATAAGTTTTTGAGCGACTTATCGCAGAACAGGGAAGTGACGACCAGCCGCAAGACCAAGACTCTGGGACGACGTTACGAACAAAAGTTGTTGATCCAGAAGGCGATCGACAATGGCGAAGTGGCACCCATACCTCCCCAAGTCTCGGAGCATGAGAGTGAGAGTGAAGCTGAACCTCCTGTCAAGTTCCGTGGCAAGTTTAAGAGCATCAAAGACAAGTCTTCCAAGGAACGAATAATTTTAACTTACGCGTCTCACTCGGACGAGAGTTGCACGGAGCTTATCCCGGACGAGGATGCGAGTGATTTTGAATTGGAACTTCAGAAGGAAATCAAAGACTCGAAGAAGAAGAAGCAAGCCGTCCATAAAAAATCCCAGCGCAGGAGACGAAGTAGCGAAAGTGAGTCAGAGCGGAGGACCAGCCATGACAGAAGCAAAGGGTCTCGCCTGCAGTATCGCTCCATCAGGAGCACGAAGGGCGCCCGGGCAAGGAAGAGTGATGACACCGATTTCTCCCCCGACTCCAGCGACGACAGTACCACCAGCAGCGCCGACACCGACTCGACTGAGTCAACATTTTCTAGTAGAAATAATTATCGCAAAATACATCCGAGAAGAAGAGCGGACTCGGACAGTAGCGACGATGATGAGGAGGAGGACGATCAGCGTAGCCGTCCTCGTCGCCGACGAACAGGTCCTGCGATGAAGCCGAGGGCGCGACGTGTGTCGGACTCATCAGACGACCAGAAATCGTCTTCCAATCGACGTCGGGCCCGGAAAACTTGTAAATATTCCACTGATGAAGACGATGACGCTTACGAACCTCCCCGAGCCTCCCGCTCCAAATCTAAAAAGAAGGACGAAGTCGTTATAAAGAAACGGACGGTTTCTTCGTCCGAATCTGAGGCTGACCAAAGATCAATTTTTACCAGAAATCGCAAAAAAATGAAAGTGAAGTCCGCGGGCGATAAAAATTCCGAGGCGCTCTTAACGAAGAAACGCGCTCAAATTAAAGAAGAACCTGAGGAACCTTCAAGCTCAGACAATAACAAACGAGGTAATCGATTAATGAAAGCAAAGAAAAGCTCCTTGATCAAATCTGACAGCGAGTCAGATTCGGTTGCTCAATCTGATCTGTCAAGTTTGCAGCAGAGAGAAAAGCCTTCATTCAATGACGACAAGAAGCAGGCCAAAGTTGCGCAATCTGATACGATTTCGCCGGCAGTGGCTTCTTCACCATTGCTGAGCAGTGGACCTGAGGGAGAGGATGACTCTATGTCCCTACCTGACAGTGACAGCATCCTGCTCAAGCTCAAGAAGGTCAGACTCGCAGAGCTAGAGAGGGAAGACGTCATCCTTGAGCAAGCTCGTCGCCTTGAAATGTCCCGCAAAATCAAAGAGAAACTGGACTCTCTTCACGAGGCCAAATTCAGGCAGAGTTGGGCGAAGCCCAAATTTGGGTCTGGGGACCAATTCCACGCGGGATGGGAAGAAGGTTTGCTTAAATTCAAGAAGGAATTTGCACGTCTGCCTAAGCAGCTGCTATCTTCGAAAGGCTGGGACAATCTTTGTGCCGACGAGTTCCCGAAGCGCAACTTGGAGCACAGTTCAGGTCGGGAGGTGAGCGGGCGCGTGACACGCAGCAAAACCAACACGCATTCCTCCTCACAGATGGCCAGCGAGAAGACCAAGGAGAGCCTCTTCACCACTAATAGTATCCTTCAGAATTTCTTCGACAAAGTAGGTGACGTAGGTATGGACTCAGACTCAGGCTGCAACGTCCGCAGGTTCGGTTTAGATTCTTTCCCTGCGTTTGGCACTTCAAGAACTCACACAGGCCTCACGCCAACCCCTTCTGTGGCGCCCTCCATGATGGCAACTGATGAGTCCGACTCTGACTCGCTTGCAAGCCGTCGGAGCCCTGCTTCTGACAGCGCACCTCTCGCAAGACGTAAGTCTGTGGCTGCTCAACTCATTAAGAAATTCAAAAGAAAATACAATCGCGTGAACACCGCATGGCTGAGCAGATCTAGAGCCATCCTACCGACCGATCCTTCGCCCAAACTCCTGCCCACTCCTGGTCTGGTGTCTGAAAAGCAAGTCGATCTACGCAAGTTAGCGACTTTCTTTAGGAAAGACACAATCGATGCCCATTGGAAAGTCTTCAATGAGCTCTTCCAAAGCAACGGTATCAATATTTTTTCATCAACGCCTCTGCAATCTCGCACCCGAAAAGAGAACCGGCAACTGTTGGACGAGGCGACTATCAGGGCCGTGTTCGGGGACGTCGTGCAGAAAACCGAAGCTCCTCTCATCGCCAAAAAACTTACCCCGAAGAAGGCAACTATGAACGGCTCCTTGAAACTGCAAGGGCTTAGCAACACCCATGATGACACCACGTCACTACCAAGCTCAACGCGCCCTAACACCCCATCTGACGGTGCGGCCATAGGGTCTGGTGAGGAGGACAGCGAGATTACTGCTGAGTTACCTAGCCTAACGTCTTCGAGGAACACCTCTCTTGAGGACTCACTGCGTCGAGGTGATGGCACCAACGCCTTCACCATCTTCGGCGCCCCGACACTCCTGGACATCAAGAAGAAGCACCGCAAGAAGCACAAGATCCACAAGAGCAGCGGCTTCGACTACATCCGCAAGAAGAAGAGGGCGCTGCCCAAGCCCGACGACGACGCCATCTTGTCCCTTAAGAAGAAACAGGTGAGCTGAACTCAACGTGAGATGTGAACATGTGAACTGAACGTGAGATGTGGACATCTGATAGTGATGTAACTTATGTAACTTTGATGTGTGATGTGACTTATGTGTGGTGGTCATGACAGGTGACGCGGCGGCAGGAGTTGTGGCCGGAGGACACGAAGGACATCGCGGGGGAGGTGCGGGGATGGGTGGTCAACAAGCACCTCGGGGAGACCGTCCTACACAAGGCCGCCCGCACCAACGCTCACGTAGGGCACCGTAGTGATCACGCTATAGTCACTGATATATATTGAGTCATTCTTACGATATATTATTTCTGTAAGGATTTAGTCATTTATGCTACAAAATAGCGGTTATCCTGACATTACGGATCTACCTTTATTGCGGACCGGAACTTACTAGGGACGAGTTATTCCAGATATTAGGAGTTGACTTTACGATCTCATCCTCGTCGGAAGTCTCCTTCTGATCCATGTTTCATTTGTACAAACTGATTGCTGCTGTAATAAAGATAATGTGGGAACTCATGATCTATCTCCTGTGATGTGCCAAAGCTGATGTAGAGAACTCAAGTGAATTATTACAATTTCCTAAATATGTAACGCCCCCACCATGTTGTAACGTTTGCCATGCCCCCCACTAACGCCCTCCATGCCCTACAGGACGCGCTCATGTACTGTCTCGAGAGCCCCGAGTTCGACGTGAACGTGCGAGACAACGCAGGCTACACGCCCCTGCACGAGGCCTGCAACAGAGGGCACCTCGCCGTCGTGCAGGTACTGCTTCGTCACCAGTCTCTTCGTCAGGAGTCTTACGGGTCGTCCTTTGTTGAGTGAAGAGGGAGGCTAATTTATTTTGATATTTTAGGGTAGGATGAAGATGGCCTCTCAACAACCTTTAGGTACTATAAAGATGACCGCTCAACCCTCTTTAGGGTACTATAAAGATGGCCTCTCAACCCTCTTTAGGGTACTATAAAGATGGTCTCTCAACCACCTTTAAGGTACTATAAAGATGGCCGCTCAACCCTCTTTAGGGTACTATAAAAATGGCCTATCAACCCTCTTTAGGGTACTATAAAGATGGCCTCTCAACCACCTTTAAGGTACTATAAAGATGGTCTCTCAACCACCTGTAAGGTACTATAAAGATGGCCTCTCAACCCTCTTTATCCCTTTATCTCATGACAGAATGCTAACCTCACACCCCCCTCTTGCCCCACGGGGCCATGCTAACCCCACACCCCACTCACCTTCCCTCTCCCTCAAGGCCCTGCTGGCCCACGGGGCCCTGGTGAATGCGGCGGGGCATGGAGGACTGCGCCCTTTGCACGAGGCCATGGAGAACGGGCACGCCGAGCTGACGCGCCTCTTGCTGAGCTACGGCGCTGACCCCACGCTGACGACGTACAGCGGTCAGCGTCCCGCTGATCTCACCACTGACTCAGTGTGTCTCCTACTGGTGCTGCAGCATCTCAGTGACCTCACAGGCATCCAGGCCGCCCACTGGGACTTCTGCGGCCCAGCGCGGTTCATGGGTGAGATATAGACCCCTTGTAGGGGTCTGTTCAGGGTCTAGTTACTGAAGGTTATGTTCTGTGGTCTAGTGAGGTTCATGGGTGAGATATAGACCCCTCGTAAGTGCTCAGTTCAGGGTCTAGTTATTGTATGGTACCACGTGTCTCCATGGTACCACGTACCACGTGTCTTCATGGTACCATGTACCACGTGTCTCCATGGTACCACGTACCACGTGTCTCCATGGTACCATGTACCACGTGTCTTCATGGTACCACATACCACGGGCTGGTGAGCACCTGATGGGGCTAATGGTTTATCCCCCACAGATCCCCCGGACCAGGGCTTCAAGCTGTTCTCAAATCCCCCTGCTCCCGAGACGTCCCTGGGACTCCCCCCATCCGTCGCCCCTTGTCCTCATCTGAAGGCGCCCTCCTCAACGTCCTCCCCAGGCTTCACCTTCGAGGAGAGCTTCAAGCCGCTGCCTGACCTCTTCGTCCACCGGTCGTCACGAAGGCGCTTCATGGTCCTGGAGGACGTGCTCCAGTTCCTGGACCTCTCGTCCATCAGAGACCTCGTCGTCATGCTGGCCGCCGCCCGCGGTGGACATCTCGAGACTCGCACTGAAATACTCTCGAATTTACTGGCTCAGTACGAGTGGACCAGCGTCAGCAGGAGCGTTAGTATGAGACTCTCCCAGCACGTCACCCTCGTTTTATATTCCGACGACCTCAGGCACGTTATGGACGTTAAAGAACACGTCATTGTGTGACGGCCCTCAGTGAACACGTCATTGCGTGACGGCCATCAGTGAACACGTCATTACGTGACGGCCCTCAGTGAACACGTCATTACGTGACGGCCCTCAGTGAACACGTCATTGCGTGACGGCCCTCAGTGAACACGTCGTTGCGTGACGGCCCTCAGTGAACACGTCGTTGCGTGACGGCCCTCAGTGAACACGTCATTGCTGAGCGTAAAATGATGGACGGTGCATGGATGATTCAAGCCCGTCAAAAGCCCGTCTAAAGCCCGTCAAAGGCCCGTCTAAAGCCTGTCCAGAGCGACCTCGGTTATCGAGTCACGGACCTATACAGAAGCAAGACATACAAAAACATCAACAACAATATTTCCTGCAATAATACTGAATAGACGATATTGATATTGATTTTGGAGCTTCTGAATATTTTTTGATGAGTTATCTTGTTAATTTAAGTTTAATTTCCTGGCAATACGCGTGCAATGTCTACGCGTTTTCTCCAAACAAATTTTGGGTCGCGTTAACGTCTGATATTAAGGCTGCTACAGAGGCTAATTAGAGCCGCTCTAGATCTTGATTAAAGCCGCCCCTGGCCGTGATTATAGCTGCCCTAGTTCTTGTTTAGAGCCGCCCTAGCTCTTGGTTAAAATCACCCCTGGCCGTGATTATAGCCACTGCAGCTCTTGATTAGAGCGGCCTCAGCTATTGATTAGGGTGGCTCCAGATCATTTGTAGCCGCCCTAGCTCTCGATTCGAGCTGCCCTAGCTATTGATTAGAACGGCCCTCAGGTCGTGATTAGAGCCACTGCAGCTCTTGATTAGAACGACCCCAGTTCTTGATTGTAGCGCCACAGATACCCATTACACAAGCAAGACTATGAAGTTTTACTAATTTGTTTTCGCTTGCGTTACGGTCAGCTTGTTTTCATCACTTCATCTTCCCCACATGACAGCCTCGTTTTGACCTGCTAGCTTGGAAATTCGTTGTATTGGGACCACGGCGTTGTCTTATTATTTATCTTATTTCATTATCAATTCGGACTGTATTTTAATAATTAGCTCTATTTTAAGTTCCTTGTGTCACATTTAATCTATCTTTTAATAGATTATTTCGTAAAATTTATCGCTGGTTAACAAAGAGCGCTTTGCAATAGCTGACAAACATTGTCTTTTGTGGATTATTTGTCGTTTTTAATTACAATCACAAAACTGAAGCTGCTGGATGGCAAATCAATATGTTATTTGTTGCGTAAGAATATAATGCTCGTGAAGTTGTGGTCCCTTCATGTGCACTTTAGTTAACCATTCGTGGGACCGACTTTCATTAGAATTGCTATCATCTACCTCTGTTCTTATCAGTTACATCTTCGTTATCTATTTGTGTATGTCTGATATAAGCGTTATCGTGCCCACAAGCAGGCAATCTGTTGTTCTGGTGACGGGAGTTTTAATGATTTGTTTTATGCAGTTTTGTCCTTTATTTATGCGATTACATGAATCCTATGCAATTTTAATCCCTTCGATACCGGTATTATTTAATTTTTGACAATTTTTCTTGATTATCTGAAAGATTTCGACCCAGCCGCCATGACAACTCAAACATGGCGAGCAGTGGCAAACTTACGAGCCTGGCGTTGTAACAATGCTGCAGCCGACATTCTTCTTGAGTAGACAAACGAAAATGAATAATGAAAATGAATGAATAATGCAGGGAAGTGAGATGAATAGTGCAGTGATTAATCGTCGTCACAAATACCTGGCACCGACTTCAGGGGACACTTGGGTAGACCCACTGCAGACGGACCACTGCAGATGGACCACTGCAGATGGATCCACTGCAGACGGACCACTGCAGATGGACCACTGCAGATGGACCACTGCAGATGGACCACTGCAGATGGACCACTGCAGATGGACCACTGCAGATGGACCACTGCAGATGGGCCACTGCAGATGGACCACTGCAGATCACTTGTGTAATTTTATGAAAATGCTTCGTAGATCCTCATAGGTAATGTGTGCTGGTCGATGTTATCGCTAAAATGTCTGTGATTTTTAAAGCTATATTCTAAGTTTATCAGGAGTAGTGGCAATGCGTGTCTGAACCAACCGCCCCTTGCGGTTGACAGCTGACAAGCTCAGGACGCCTACAGGCGACCGTGGCTCTCGTACGCTTGATTCACGTAATTATTTAATGGAAAAAATGTCGAGTCACTGCATTCTAATTACCCACGTTAAAATGTCTGTCTGGGAAGCTCCTTTAAGAACTCCTGCTTGCCGAGCTTTGCTCAGCAGAAATACTTCAGAATAAACGGTTACCTCAGAGGCGCCGCCCTCCAAGAGCTCCTGTAATGTTGACCTCAGTGCTGGCGGTAAGGGCTGAGGTCAGGGGGGCGGTGGTATCTAGGATACTATAGAGTAACCTTCGTTGTTGGTGGCGAAGGTGGTATCCAGGATACTATAGAGTTATGTACCTTCGTCGGTGGTTTCCAGGATACTGTAGAGTAACCTTCGTCGTTGGCGCTGGTGGTATCCTGGATACCATAGAGTAACCTTCGTCGGTGGCTATGGTGGTATCCTGGATACTATAGAGTAACCTTCGACGTTGGTGGCGATGGTGGTATCCTGGATACTATAGAGTAACCAGAATTAGTGTCCAGGATACCGTGTTACCCCCCCCCCAAGGATGCCCCGCTCCCCAGCAGGAGAAGATGAGGGCGCTGTTCTTTCTCAGCTTGTATTTCACGCTTCGATGATTACCTTTAATGTATATATTTGTGCAATTGATCTGTATTTCATGTGATAATATGAAATAGCTTTTAAATTCATTTTTATACATCCTGTATTTTATTTCCCTTATTTCATCTATACCAATGGACTTTAGTTGTCAAAATTGACGGACACGCAAGACTGGATTTGACTGAGCATCAGGAACAGTCGTCATTGAAGTACCACCTTAATCCCGTATACCTAAGTGGTGGTTATTGGGAAGTAAGTTAAAGGAATTTATTCGTTCGCATGGTAAGAAATTTTATGGCAGCTGATGACATCTAGACCGACAGGAGGTTCTTGAATACAATATCTGCTGATAACTCTCCTTAAACAAATTAATTGATATCGAGTAAAGTCAAATCGTATCGGTGAATCTGTGGTATCATTGAGGACAATCGAGGGCGCAGTAGCACAAAAAGTGGCCGGTGTCTACTGACGGCGGTAGATGATAGCGAATGGTAGTTGAGACGCGTGATATTGAAAGCGTTGAAAGATTTCTACTCATAGACTTGCCCGAGTTTTGTGATTGTTGCTGCCTCTTCTTACAATCGATGTGTTCGATGGGAGCGCATGCCAGTGATGCCACAAGCCAACTTGGCCCAACTAAAAACTGCAATTTATTTTCCCATCCGTGGAGAAGAACGCTAGGAACAGCTCTCATTGAAGTAAATTTCTTGAAGCCCTATCGCTGTATGTCCACAAGCATCGCTAAAGCGGTCATACCGCATCTGGCATAACCTACTCAAGTAGCAACATTTCTCCACTCAAACGGACCTTACCAGACCAACTTTTTTACCTCATTGGCTGCGAAAGTTAGGTGGGGCAAGTAGAGCCGGTCATTGGTTGTATGAATGTTGTGAGTAGGCTAGACTGGATGTAGAACTGCCTGTTTTTGACCAAGCATGCTTAAGTATTGGCTGAATACCTACGGCGTTATTTATTTTAAGCATCGTGTCACTGGTCTGGATTAGTGTGTTCTAGCGTAGTCTGCGGGTTATAACTCTGTGGCTGAGCGTAGTTTTATCATGCTTGGGCTCCAGGGCTTATTTAAAAGTTAAATGTGTGGCCCACGGCGGCCCATTCAATGCTGGAATATTGAGTGGGTGTCGACATGGCAATGCATAACGCCATCGTCATAGCAACGCGTCACGTCATCGTCATGGCAACGCGTCACGCCGTCGTCATGGCAACGCGTCACGCTATCGTCATGGCAACGCACGACTTGAGGCTGGAGATTGAATGCTTGTGTCAGTGAGTGTACAGCGCTCAGAGTTGCGGTGATTCGTTGGTGGGCGCTATCAGGGAAACTTGTTATGAAACCCAGGGTATATTTATGCGTAGGTGATAGATGATTCCATAAATGAAATTGCCATTTTAGAGTTAGTGAAGGTTTCTGGAGAACAAACATAGAAAACAATTGATAAAATTGAGCACGGTTCTATACAGGGTGTCCCAAAAATAACGATACTCAACTTTGAATGGCTGTAACTCAAAAAGTAATAGAGTTAAAAAAAATTGGAAGGTCAGGATTTGTTCCCTATGTTTTTCTCCATCTCTCCACCAAAAATCAGACAGATCGATGTAGACATAAGCGTTTGATAAAACTTTCAGTGACGTGTTCTAAAATCGTGCTTGCGCAAAGTTTTAGTAAGATCATTTTGCATAATCATTACGATGTCTTGACATGTTTTGTTTTCGCTGTTTTATTTTTTGTATCTTTGGTGAGACAAAAACATGGCAATCTTTGGTGAAAGACAATCATGACAATCTTTGGTGAGAGACAATCATGACAATCTTTGGTGAGACAAAAACATGGCAATCTTTGGTGAGAGGCAATCTTTGGTGAGAGACAATCATGACAATCTTTGGTGAGAGACAATCATGGCAATTTTTGGTGAGAGACAATCATGACAATCTTTGGTGAAAGACAATCTTTGGTTTTGAAATTCCCTCTCACCAAAGATTGTCATGATTGTCTCTCACCAAAGATTGCCATGATTGTCTCTCACCAAAGATTGCCATGTTTTGTCTCACCAAAGATACAAAAAATAAAACAGCGAAAAGAAAACATGTCAAGACACTGTTATGATTATGCAAAATGATCTTACTAAAACATTGCGCAAGCACGATTTTAGCACAAGTCACTGAAAGTTCTATCAAACGCTTATGGCTACATCGATCTGTCTGATTTTTGGTGGAGGGATAGAGAAAAACATAGGAAACAAATCCTGACCTTCCAATTTTTTTTAACTCTAATACTTTTCGAGTTACAGCCATTCAAAGTTGAGTATCGTTTTTTTGGGACACCCTGTATGTGGCATCATTTCAGATTTAGTAAGTCTCTGATGTATAACGAAAGCAATAGATTAATCGTGTGTGATAGAATGCGAAGCGATGGAATTTCAAAGAAGATCATACCGAATCATCGGATGAACTGAGTCGTGCAGGAGCACAAAAGGATCAATAAAAATTGTAAGGGCGCGTTGTTTCCAACGTATCTGATTAATTTATGACTACTACATATGTTAGTGACTGCTTGACCAGAGCGACAACACCTTGGGTATTCAATATTGAAGGATGGACTTGGCTTTAACTGAGAGATTTATCACTTACTGTTGAAGATCTTTACCCAGGTAAGCATAAATCTAACAACAAATAATCTTGAATTTTATTAAAGTATTACCTTGAGCATGAGTTCATAACCGTCAACTACGCGTGCAAGGTTATACATAGCAGCGCTGCTAGCAATATTGTGGTTGTCTGTAGATCTTCATTGCGTTCATTAATCCAAGAGAAAATAATATGGTGTAATGTAATGCTTGCTAATTACAACTCCATTGATCTGTTCATTGAGTTCGTTGATTCAAGAGAAAATAATTCGGTGCACATTATACATGCTCATTACAACTCCATTGATCTGTTGCACACAGTGCGCTTCTCCACATCTCGTCAGGACAACAGCGCAAAGGAAAGCAAGGCAGCACAAGAGGGCAACAGGGTCTTAGGATAACAGGACAAGACAACAGGGCATCAGGATAACAGGACAAGACAAGAGCAGCAGGATGCAGAGCAACGCGGCGGTTGTAGCGGCGCTGGCGGCGGAGCTTCAGGCCGCCGACTTCTACCCGCCGCTCCTCGCCGACGTCAAGGTTAGCGCCCCCGCCCCCCAGTGGGGGATATTCCCCCTAATGTCTCCTGGGGGCTCTTGCCCCCGCCCCCCAGTGGAGGATATTCCCCCTAATGTCTCCTGGGGGCTCTTGCCCCCCCCCCAAAAAAAAAAAAATTCCTGCGGCTCCCGTCCTGACCCTCCATCCCTTGCCCCCCAATTGCTCCCTCGTAGCCCCTCTCAGCCACCTTAGTTACTCCCCCTGCCATCATCCCTCCCCAATACCTCACGCCGGCTACTGTCCTCCAGTTACTCCCCCTGCCATCATCCCTCCCCAAACCTCACATCGGCTACTGTCCTCCAGTTACTCCCCCTGCCATCATCCTGTCTCTTATACACATCTAGATGTGTATAAGAGACAGGCCTACAGGCGACTGTGGCTCTCGTACGCTTGATTCACGTAATTATTTATTGGAAAAATGTCGAGTCACTGCATTCTAATTACCCACGTTAAAATGTCTGTCTGGGAAGCTATGAGCTCTTTTAAAAGCCGAGCTTTGTTCAGCATTAATACTTCAGAATGAATGGTTACCTTAGTGCCTGTCTCTTATACACATCNTGCATCAGTGTTCACTAGTGTGCATCAGTGTTCACTAGTGTGCATCAGTGTTCACTAGTGTGCATCAGTGTTCACTAGTGTGCATCAGTGTTCACTAGTGTGCATCAGTGTTCACTAGTGTGCATCAGTGTTCACTAGTGTGCATCAGTGTTCACTAGTGTGCATCAGTGTTCACTAGTGTGCATCAGTGTTCACTAGTGTGCATCAGTGTTCACTAGTGTGCATCAGTGTTCACTAGTGTGCATCAGTGTTCACTAGTGTGCATCAGTGTTCACTAGTGTGCATCAGTGTTCACTAGTGTGCATCAGTGTTCACTAGTAAGAATCAGTGTGAGACAGAATTCAAGTTTTGTGAACTATTTTTTTTAAGAACAGTGTTTTTCTTAGTCAGACTGTTGCCTGACTAAGAAATGACACATGAAACATTTTTTATTTATTGTCGGAAACAAGGAACCCCCTTTTAATGTGATATTATTCATAGAGAGCGTTAAGTTAGATTCGTTTGCTAAGCATCATTCATCGTCTGCTAGCCCCGGATTAGATTTATTTTTATGATATTTTCTTAGTAAATGATCGCTTGATCTAGGATTTTTTTACTTTAATGTGCAATTATTTTGGGAAATGACTTTATTTTTAATCTGATACTCGTAATGATTTGTTGTGTTGTATGTAAATAAGCGCTGTCAATCTACGGTACAATCGTCTAGGCGAGTCAATTACAACCTGTGATCATGCTGCCAAAAAGGTAAACTTTTCATTACTATGATTCTATGTGATATTACTTCTCATCGCACTTTGATAATGCTTTTAGTTAATATTTCATTCATCTAGGCGGATTGCTACAAAGTTCTTGACTTACGCGCTTGCGAATTAGGTATCTTCGAGAGTTCTTTTATCATATACCGACCTTCACCAAGAAATATGTGGCCAAAGGATCGAAAAATGGTTCTACTTTGTTGTAATATATTATTTGCTTTTCTTGGCCCATAGATGTTAATAGCCAGTTTTGTATACATTGATTGTAAAGGAGGTATTGTAACTATTGTTGTAAGCTTATTTTAATGGGTCCAAGCACTTAGACTCTAGGAGAGATGCAGATTTAAGCTACTACGATTCTTCTTTAGATGTGAAGATATCTCGTAAGCTTCACCGACTCTCATATAGCGCTTGGTTTAACCAGGCGTATGCTAGAGATCCACTTACGGACTAAATACGGCGAAGGCAGTGTTCTTGGTTGTCCTAGCAGACTGCGGCGTTTTGGTGCGGCTCATAACCGTACCGTCTGCACCCTGGTGTCGTAAAGGCTAATATCCTTTTTAGCGCATTTTCTCATTTATGGAAAAAAGGCGCTGTTGTGCTTGTCAGTCCGTCCGTCTGTCCGTCCGTCAGCGACTTCACGTTTTCGTCGACGAGTAAATGCGCTCTCTGCCACTCACTGCAGTGAGTACTGGGTTATATTTTTGCTCCGTGGGCGTAACTGCCTTCTAACCTTTAGCTTTTCTCCGTAGTGTATTAGGGCTCGTACCCTCAGTAACTGTGACTGACTTTTGGCACCTCGGTACAGTTCGTATACCAGCGTAATTTTCCGCCTAAATTCTTCTGTCTCTTGGTGTGGCTCATATTCATATCACTAGATCTTAGCAGTGTGTTGGGCTCGCACCCTCAGCTAGGTGACTGGCTCTTCGCGTTCCGGCACGGCTCGTACCCGTGAAACTCGCTGTCTAACTTTTCTACGTTTTAAATTCACTTCACGTGCCATTTCACCACTTGTCGACGCATGTACCTCTGAGGTTGTAATTCGGTTTCCTGGAGCTTTTGAACTGTCGATGAAGAATAATATGTATCTACCTCGACGGAATGAATTGTGCGCCTATGTTTGAAGAATCTCGCGCACCACTTGGACATCATAAGTATGGCACGGAAAGTTCCCCTCGTGTTTTTTCCTCCCCTCTCGAACGCAAGGGAATTTATAACCGGACCGAAGCGCAACTCTTGAGCCCTTGTTTTAATTAAACTCACAGCGAATATCTTCTGAGAAATCGGCATGCTACTCATAACTATTTCAACTTTACGGCGGTTTTTCCGGTTACTTACAAGTGTTCACATGGTTCTTATGTTTTTATTTGAAGTCTTGGACAAAGTCTTGCTGATGCGCCCCATTACCACAAAATTGGTGCCTCAATGATGACCCTAACCGCACGCTCCTCGGCAGCTTGTTCATTTTGCGCGAGTCCAACGACATGCGTTTGGTTGCCTTAAGTGGAGCTCATCTGCTAGTCTCTGCCGGGAGTCAGGTCACCAGTGTTCACCAAGGTTCCCCGGTGTTCACCAGTGGTCACCAGTGTTTTCCAGTGTTCACCAGTGTTCATTGTTCGCAGGTGTCGTGGGAGCGTCGTCTCGTCAAGTGTGTCAACAGTATGGCTGCAGAGCTCGGCCTGCCCCTCGCGCGGCGACGCAGCGAAAAGGAGCGTAGTGCCGTCGCCGACAAGTGGGCAGAGCTGTCGACCATCGACACAGGCAGGTGACCTCTGCTGCCTTAATGTGCTCCGCTAATTATAACATGTAGTCTCTGTAGTATAATGAGCACCATGTCTTTTACGGCATATTTTATGATACCATATCCCTAAAATTCGTGATGCAGTTATAAATAAAGGACACAAACTCAGTATATATGGCTCTTCATTTATCTTGTTTCAACGCAGATCTGAGCCAAATCAGGCCAGTTTACGCACCGAAGGACTTCCTCGAAGTCCTGGCCAGCCTCCGCAACCCAAACTACGACGAGTCCTAGTGAGTCTCACACTCAGATCCACTTACGATGTAGTACCCAAACGGTCAATTGTCGTTATGAAGCAAACTTAGGATCATAGTGGAACTAGCGTCCGTTGTGAAACTTGCAAACATCACTTCATTTATGACCATCGTTGAATTTACGACCATCATAAAACTTACGACCATCGAAAATCTTTCGACCGTTCTGAAACTTATGCCCAGAATATAACTTGCGAAATTCTAGTGTGTCAGGCGTATGCAAGCAACCAGCTCACAATAGCTCAGCTTAGGTTATTTGTTTTCATATTTTTTTCATTTCTATTACTGAATATTTTCTGTTTTGCAGCGAAGAAAACCTATGGGGAATGATTCAGTTACCCATAAAAGTGCGCGACCACAAGGGGCTGGTGAGTGCCATCGAAATGCGGGACCACAAGTGGTGAATGTCGTAGTGATGCTCGCACAGAGTAATTCTGGGTGAGTCTGATCCCCATCAGTCATTATATTCTGAGTACATTAATTAGTACGCCAGCAGCTCCGCCTCTAGATTATCATAGGGCAGTTTGTGATAAGGTGACTAGAGTTTATATTTCCAATTCTCCTATTTGTCGTTGGACTCGTTGAAGGTGGGGGTGCTGGGGGAGTTGGCCACCTGTTGCCACCACCTGGGACTGGACGAGAACGCTCCTGGGGAGCTGCGTCCACATCTAACGCTGGGTGCAGAGCGCCTCATGCTGGCCACGCAGGGTGAGGGATGTGGCGTGTGTGAGTCCTGCACCACCAAGCATCTTAATGCACCATAACGCATCGCAATAGAACACAACACTCTCCTTGCACCCAAAACCCTTAACCTCGACTTTTGTCGCCAGTGGTGGAACGCAACCACGGGCCGTTGAGCAGAGAGCTCCTGAAGCATGGCTGTCCCGTTGGGCTGCGTGGGGCTCTGTGGCGGCAGGTGCTCGGCGTCGAAATCGGCCCCAAGGTGAGCCACACGGGCACGTCTAGTGCACCTTGTGGTGATGGAGCTGATGGTGCTTGTAGTGCTGATAGTGACACTAGTAACGCCTGCTACCTGCGTCCGCTGACAACGCTTGTGGTGATACTGACACTAGTTAGTAGTAGCACGTAGCATCATTAATTAGGTTTACTGATTGGGTCTGTTGACAGCGCCAGTGCCGCAAGAAACATAGTTGCTTGGGTCAAATGGTAGCTGAAAATTATATTTAAAGTTCTGATAATGAAAGTTCTGATTGGACAAGTTCGGTTCATCGTTCATGGTCTACTAGTCACACTAATGTTCATGGTCCGCTATTTTTGAGTAATTAAGACCTTGTTCAAGGTCTACTAGTTTCAAATTTTAGAGTCGTCTCGCTGTCTGGTAGTCAGCAGCTGGGACGGCTCTGAATTTCAGACACGCCACGCTGTCTGGTAGGCCACAGCTGGAGCGACCCTGTATTTCAGAGTCGCCCTGCTGTCTGGTAGTAAGCGGCTGGGGCAGTTTTGAATTTCAGAGTCGCCCCGCTGTTCTTTAATCAGTGGTTGAAGCAGCTCTAACGTATGTCGACTCTCCTGCAGCAAGAGGAGCACTTCGAGCATCTTCGGCAGCTGGTGCTGGACCACGACCTGCTGGTGGACAGGTTGGTGATGAAGGTGAGTGATGATGGCGGCAGTGATGAGGGCGGCCGTGATGGTAATTGATGGATGGATGGATGAGGGTGGTGATGAGTAGGGCTTTGCTGCTATCAACGATTAATCACACGAATGATGATAATTGTTCTGATTGTTCTTACAATGATGACGGTACTTGTGTTGTTTGTAATACATTGCTGACTAACTTCATGTTGGCGTCGTCAGGACGTGCAACTGACGGCGTCGAACGACGACGAGTACTTCGTCTTCGAGGACCTCCTGCACCAGGTACCTCTCATGCATCAGGTACCTAACGCACAAGGTACCTCCTGTACCACTTGTACCTTATGTAGTACTTGTTGCACGTCCTACGCAAGGTGATTGCTGGTCCATGTACCCCCCTACATCACCAACTACTGCCTGCATTTCCTGCACACGGTATCTTCTGAAACTCTTGAACATCCTACACATTCTGCTTAGCAAGCAATGATATTATTGGCAGCAGGTGTGTGGAAGGCCTGGTTATTAGTTAGTGATGACGCTCCGCTACCTGGTACCACCTGGTGGCACTGAAATAAAAGATATGCAATTCGAACGCGTTCTTGAAGTGTTGATGTGTACCCAGGTCAAGTTTGACGATCTCATAGCGGCAATAACCGCAAGAGGCGGCCGATAGGTGGGATGGATATGGGGCACATTTAAAGCAAGGGAAGCGGAACCGATGATCACACTCTTCAGAGCCCTAGTGATCTATCTATTCGTGTACTGCTGCCAGCTTTGGACCCCGATTGTGATCAGTGCAGTGTGGCAATTGGGAACGGTCCAGTGAATCTTCACGTCCAGGATCAGCAAGATGAGGGCGCTGAACTGCAGAGAAAGACTGATGCTCGTATTTACCTCAAAACTCCTAAAACAGAGTCTGCCTATCAGGAATCTGCATAACTCAAAAGCCCGTCTCTGCGCAGGTGTTGCTGTGCTTCTCCCGCGACAGTGCTGTGCTCCGCCATTTTGACCACTCCCCCGCCTCCCCCGCTCTCGCTGCCCCTCAGGGAGCATCCCCCACCGCATACACCCTCGTTGCCTACCCCCCAGCGGGGGTCATTCCCTTCCACGGGTTCGCCATGTACGGTGAGCCCTAAGGGGGGGGGGCAGCTGTTCCTCCCATGCACGGTGAGCCTCATTAGGGTGGGAGGAGCGTTGTGCACCACTTCATTGTGAAGATGTTCTTTGAGTAATCGGTATTAAATATCTATTTAAAGTATCTTAGTTAGACATTTCTGTTGAATATATTTGGTTTTGATTAGACGGTGTTAAATAGATGAACGTTGAATATATGTTTTTAAAAAATCTGTACATAAAGACATGCATCCATGGTAATCAAGTAAACGGATTTTAGTCACATCTTGAACTTAGAAATAATTACATAAAAATATTATAGGTATCACTTGCGCTTCCCGATAGCGCCTGAAAGACTGTACCCATGTTTACAACATATGACTGTCCCACTAGTACCTCTGATGAATGTACCCATGAATGTCCCGGTGAACAGCCGCGCCCCTGACGTGCGTGTACGAAGATCCTATGCCGCTGTACTTCACATTCAGGGAGATGTACTGCAGNATTACTAATACCGAGAAATTGGGTATTTTATTAGTATACTATGCTATTAGTAGGCTGTCTCTTATACACATCTAGATGTGTATAAGAGACAGGTCAGGTACTGGTCCCTGCTACACGTCATCAGCAGCCACAGTCAGGTACTGCCGTACTGGTCCCTGCTACACGTCATCAGCAGCCACAGTCAGGTACTGCCGTACTGGTGCCTGCTACACGTCATCAGCCACAATCAGGTAATTTTTAATGATTTATTAAAGAATTTGGCGTATTTCATGGAAGACTATATTATTATATTTACTTATAATATATCAACATTTGCATGCATGTGTTGGGGCAGGGTGCAGCTGCCCTGGCGATGCAGTTCGAGCAGCTGCTGCAGAGCACAGAGCGGCAGCTCTGGTACCACTGCTCTGCGCTGGGCATTAACCTGTGAGTCTCATAGTGTTGGCCACATCGTGCGATGCATTCAAATGCCATTATTATAAAGTTGCTCAGGTGGCCGGTCTCTCAATTATATTAATTATATTAACGTTATAAAATTTTGAATTGTTTCAATCATATTACTTTTATTAATTCTATTAATTTTATTTAGTTAATTTTATTACTTATATATTTTTAGATTTTTAACTACGAAAGAAGAAAGGGCATTTGGTGATGGTTAGAAAACGATCTTAGAAAGGTTTTATAATATACCGTAATATACCGCATTGGCTCCATATGAAGCTCTCTTCACTCCCTCTGTAACGGCCCAACTTTCTGCCAATTGTCGGTCTCGCTTTTTCTTCCTTCCAACGCGTTTCTCAGAGATGAAGTTGGACGCGAGCTTATATGATATGTCGGCTCACTCTCGACAGCGTCGCCTCCCTAATTAAGCTGGTGTGGCGGTATGCGGTAACTATGTAGTGGCCGGCTAAGAAAAGTCCCTTGGATGCACCTACGACGCTGCTGTTCGCAATTGATGCCAAACTAAGATCTTGTCGATTTGACTCTCCGTCGACGGCCATGGACGAGGGAGAGGGTTACCGGGTGTTAGCCTCTAGAGAACCAGCCTCAACGATGGCGCCACTTCTCGCGCTGTACTTCTCATGGACTTCGTCGTCAAATTCAAGTCTACATCCTAGTCCGCAACCTGCGTGGTAGGAGGTTGCAACTGGTCGGCAAACTTTGGATAAAAACGAGCTTCATGTCCGCCGCCAGCATTGCGCTTTCCCGCTTGCTTACACAATTTGTATACCTGAGAAATGTTGAAACTTCGAGCTGCCTGCCGCCTTTCAATTATGCGACTTCACGTCGACTACGATAGAGCACCGATAACGTCAAATGTTGGGCCCAGCTGAGCCCTGTTTTTCTTGTTCACATTTTATCATGATATCTTCGTGTTGTCCGATCTCTCCCCGTCAGGTGCAGCATCGTATTCAGATGGCCGTTCTCTCCCCCATCAGGTGCAGCATCGTGTTCAGGTGGCCGGTCTCTCCCCCATCAGGTGCAGCATCGTGTTCAGGTGGCCGGTCTCTCCCCCATCAGGTGCAGCATCGTGTTCAAGTGGCCGGTCTCTCCCCCATCAGGTGCAGCATCGTGTTCAGGTGGCTGGTGCGTGCGTTCAGCGGGTACCTGCGCCCCGATCAGCTGCTGCAGCTGTGGGACGCAGTGCTGGCCTACGGCACGCTCGAGGTGTTGCCGGTGCTCGCCCTCGCCATCGTCTCCTTCAGAAGGCAGAACCTCATGGACGTCACGGCCCAGCAGGCAGCAGAGGTGGACACAACAAGTTAGACTATAGTCAATAAATGAAAGCTTGATCGCCTCACCTCTTGATCTTGATCGCCAGGTGGTTAACTGGGTAACTCGAAAGTTGACCTTTGTCCCGTATCCTTTCTCCCGAGTCTCAATCGGGTGGCATGTGCCCCGACGTTTCAGTCTAAGGATATTCTAATCTATGTTTTAATCCATCGGCTATTTTTATGAGTATTGAATGATAACAAATGATAGATAACTATTCAAAAATATTTATAAGAAGTTGGGGAATCTGATGTTCGTATCCTGACATTTCAATGCTTTCTATAATGCCTGAGGGAGACTTGATTCATTGGGCAGCGGTTGATAGCGCGTGATGATATTTACGGCTGTTATGTGTAATAAACTGTCCATGTTTATCAGCTTATTTGATCGTCAGCACTAAAGTATGCATATGGTTTTTGGCAGGCCGTTTTGGCTGACATCAGCAACATACAAGTGGTGGCGCTACTGAAGCTGGCGCTGTCAGGAGACCGCACTCACGACCTCGACACCTGAACACACTAATGGAAGGACACGACCTCGACACCTGAACACACTAGTGGAAGGACACGACCTCGACACCTGAACACACTAATGGAAGGACACGACCTCGACACCTGAGCACACCTGTAGGCCGGTCAGCCTCATGAGACAGAACATCTCCATTGGCTGAGACCAACCAGCCCTCAATAAAGTAGTTGGGTGAGGTACGGCCGAGCATCGTCCGTTGATGCATGAAATAATCTTACTCAGTCGTACAGAGCGTGCAGGGATGGTGCAGCAGGCATTCTTCCTCAGGCCTCTCAAATTCAATCCCTGTATTCAAGAAGCCAATCGTCGAAAAGGAACATACAACGTGGAACCTAACTAAAATCTTGTACTAAAAATCGTTAACCCAAAAATAGGTTGTACCTGACTGGCTGAGGCCAGTCAGGTTTCATGCAACTTATCAGAAAAGCTACTGATTGGCCACAGTTTCAATTCGAACACTGATAATAAGATAAAATGATATTTCGCTGCAACGTTTAATGTTAGACAGTTATTACGTGCTATGCAATTCGCTCTCATATGTTGGAGGTAACGCTCTTAACATTTAAATAAATATCGCATCGCAGGCCTTGGGCTAGTGTCGGGGATCTGTAGCTGAACTCATTTTGAAAGGAGTACTAATGTAATTCCCATCGATGTGAAATATTATTTATCTTGCGAAGACAAAAGTCAGCTAGTTTGACTTCACCATGTTAATTGATCATACCTGGGAATAGTATGAAATATGTAGATGCTGCAGTACCACATTCATTGGAAAGTATTACCATAAGATAGAGGCTGCTTAGGTCTCTCTCGGTAAATATAATGTGGATGCTGCTAAGCTTTTTTGTCTTGGTAAGTAAAAAATAGAAGATGCCAAGCTTCTTTTTCTCGGTATTACTAATACCGAGAAATTGGGTATTTTATTAGTATACTATGCTATTAGTAGGTATTTGAATAGATGCTGATAAGCTATTATCTCTTGATATGTACAAATATATGATGCGAAGCTGCTTGCGCCCAGTAAGTGCCGTATAACTAAAAAAACATAGCAGCAATGTTTACAAATAATAATGTTACTCTTTTTCTGTTGCAAAACGTTCCCTGTACATAGGCCACGTTGAAGGAGCAGTAGTATAGAACTTATTTCTATGTTGCATTTACAGAATGAAGACGATTATCATTGTGGTAATCACCGTTTACCGTTTAGCTTACCTGTATGGCAACAGGATAAGTCATTGTGATAACCCGTTTAGTGTTGTTCAGTTCGTAATAAAGCTCTGCCCATTATGGTATCTCTTCTCTTGGCCCTTTATACGTTCAACCTCGGTCAAATCAATCATCTCAAACGAAACTCAATATACAAGTATTTTGCATGAAAGTAAAAATGCCACATTCTTACATGTTTTCGAAAGGTATTCATGACATGTGTGTAAACGGAAACCAACTGAGGCATGATATTTTTTTTATAAAGGTATGACATCTAATAGCATTTTCTGTGCAGGCGCACGCTCACAATGAAAATTTCTATTCTGATGATAGACTGATGTATTTTTGATTGAAATTGCTTGGCTTGCACAGAAATTAGACACTCATAAATAAGCGTCGAAATAAAATATGCAAGTTTATTCAAATACTCGCAATATGATTGACCATTGCCACAAGTGCTATTATTTTCATAATTTTCACGAAAAAGTAATATATAGCAGTAATAGCACTACTTTTGTTTTGAAGAAGTTACCTGGTTTTGTTTGGAGAGTCAGCCGCGTTCATCGAGTAAACACCTATAGTGTCTTACGTCCTTGATTGTGTAAAAGCTAACTTGCAAGTAATCGTTTAGAATTAATTACAAACAGGGCCTGGACTGTACTTCTATATATACCGCGAGTATATAAACCAAGGGTACGTCCGGCACTAAGAACCCGGCTGGCTTTCTCGCCCCTCCCCCCTCCTCTTCTCTTCACGAGAAGAGGCTGTAGGCAGGAGTAGGTTTGTGAGCCAGCCTAGGCCCTGTCTCTTATACACATCTAGATGTGTATAAGAGACAGGTGTAGATGTGCCATGATCCGCTCTTTCACAAGGGCTTCCATACATTTACAGAGAACACATGTCAGGCTAACTGGCCTATAATTGCTGGCCTGCAGGCGACTCCCTTTCTTGAAAACTGGAGTGACCCTTGCTTTTCTCCAGGCGTCTGGAATAGTGCTTGACTCCAGGGATTTTCTGAAGATGATGGCAACAGGCCGGGCGATTGCGTCGGCGACTTCTGCTAACAGGCGAGGGCTCAACCCATCCGGGCCTGAGGCTTTGTCCTTCTTCAGGCTTTTGAGACTCTTTCTCACTACCTCTTCCGTAATCACGAAGTCAGACAGCTCTTCCTCCCAGTGATAGACGGGCATATCCGGTAATTCGCCACCCTTTTCCTCAGTAAAAACACTGTGGAAGAATTTGTTTAGGACATCCGCTTTCTCTTCGTCAGACTCGGTCTTCGACCCATCCTCCCGTCTCAAGTGAGCAACTCCTGATTTAGACTTTGTTTTAGCTTTCACATACGACCAAAAGGATTTGGGGTTACTTTTAGCCTGAGCAGCTACTGTTGCTTCGAGCCTCCTCTTCGCCACGCGGCATGATCTAGCTGCTTGATTTCTAGCCTTCTTGTATGCTTCATAGTCTTCTCCTGCCCCGCTCTGCATCCAACGCCGATATAGCTTATGTTTTTTTCTGACTGAAGTCAGAGTGTCCCTATCGAGCCACTTTTTTCTATGTGCTTCTGTGCACCTTGAGATCAGGACAAACCTGGCCATGCTTCTGTGCAGGTGGTTTGTGAAGATTTCGTATGCCTGGTTAACGTCCAAGCCCCCCACCTCACCCTCCCAGTCCACATCACTAAGCGCCCCTCTCATTCCCTCGTAGTCTGCCCTCGAGAAATTGTAATGCTTCCTTTTCCGAGGCATCCGAAAGCCGCAAGCAACCTCAATGACCAGCACAGCATGATCACTCTTCCCAAGTGCCGACGTAGTGGTTATTTCATTGACCAAGTCAGGTCTATTTGTCAGGATCAGATCGTCTAGTGTAGGTCGCTGGCCGACCCTGAGTCTGGTAGCTTCTCTCTGGTGCTGTATTAGGAATGCTTCTTGTGTTGCGGAAAGGAAACTTCTTGCTGGATGGCCAACGCCATGGTTACAAATCTCGTTGTTCCACTCAATCTCAGGATAGTTGAAATCACCCATCAACAGCAAATGATGCGGTTTTGATTCAGACACAGCACGCAGCAAATGGTTCAAGTTTTGATTGTTTGCTTCTGAGCTTCTGGGACTCCGGTAAACAACACCTACGCAAAGAACTTCATCATCCGGCAGCTGGCAATCAACCAACACGAACTCCTCGAAGGCGCTTGGCAAATCTCTACGAATCGGACGCAGCTCGCTCCTGACGTACAAGCAAACCCCCCTCCCCTCCCCTTCCAAGTTGTGGAAGACTTCGTATCCCTGAATCAAAATCTTACACTCTTGAACTTCGAACCTGGAGTTTTTTGGTTTAACCGAAAATGCGAGAAAGTTCATGAAGCTATGGCATAAAACATATTTCTTCATTATTTTGCTGGGGGAAAACTTTAACATATATGAGGAAATTATGAACGTCGCTTTATGCGGATGAGGATTTAGAATTTCAAAAAATCTCTTCCGTGAAAAAAATTCATATTCAAGTCAAGAAGGATAAAATATTTAAATCAAATTGATTCCTGTGAAATCCAAAGACCAAAAAAGCCACCAGATATATAGCGAAAACATGATCATGCAGTGCGTGACATATAACGATGTAAACTTTTAGAGTTACTCGCAACGGCGCTTGAGTGAAGCCCGATAAGAAAATATTTCACGTCACAAGGAAAAAGTTTTTTCCATGTAAAATTTACTGCTTATCTGATTTGTGACGATGAAAGAAGGGTTAAATTATAAATTAAAGTCATGGAAAATAAAACTGGTAGTAGGTGGGTAGTAACATCTCTATGGCATCGGCACCAAAACCTAAGATAAAAACATTCTTATTGTTGTCCACGCAAAATACTTTAAGTTTAAGCGACCGCGCAATCAATGAAAAATGCGCGCTAACGGCAATTTTTGTGAACATCTGAGTTGATATAGATGAACACATTTTTTCTTTACACTATTTGTAAAATTAAGATGCTTAACTGTTTCCTATATGGCCAACATAGTGATAACATAACATAGTGATCTCGGCGCTGAAGTGTAGGCCTGATGTGGCCTGTTGCCGTGTGATGTGGCCTGTCGAAAATTCACATTTTCGCATGTGAATTCTCAAGGGGATCGAGTTGGTTATTTTTGGTGGTAAAACTAAACACTAGGTACGTCAGAGCCTTTTCGGTAGAGAAAAATATCTTTTTCAGAGAAAATGTTAAATTCTTGAATGTCACGAAACGAGACTGTCGGGTTTTGCGTTTTCGGTGGCACGTGAATGTAAACCTCCGTCGGTGCTGCACCACTTATTAGCTAAGTAAAAATTTGTACGCATAAATTGAGGGTTGAAATAATTTGAGAATCGGTGCAGTACGGAGCACTATTTGTACTACTGATGAAGAACTGTATAAAATTTCACACTATAAATGTCACGGAATTAAATTCACCCTACAGTATTATTCACCGAATCGGTGTATTATTCACACCATGCCGTGGAGAAGTTGCTTCACGCAACTTGATTACCTTCGAAGCATTCATCTTGAGTGTTCTGGGAAAAATATGCAATACTGCAATTAACTTATTAAGTTTTAACTAGAATGGGCTAATAATATCATGATAATGACTTGTAAATCCAAATACATGCGAGATGTTATGCATAAAAATGGGAAAAGGTAAATGCAAATTTTGATACCTTCAAATACATTAGAAAATTGATGGAGCTATACAGTAGCTATCATTGAACTAATTTTTGCAGGCAACAGATGTTTTTCCTTTTCAACCATAATTTCTCTTCGTGTACGCCATAAACTTGGCTAAATCTTCCGGCTTCTGGCATCGTTTCAGTGAATACTCGGCTGACGGTTCGGTAGGCGAGTGGAGTTGAAAACAGTTCGTAAATATGGCTCTCCCTTATGCTCGTATTGCTTCTTCTGTAGCTAGGCAGCTTCCGAGGACATCTATTCAGGTGAATCTATTGATATAAGTCATATAACTGCCTTTTAATTGATTTAGAATAATTCTATTCAGACATTGGCGTTTATTACTTGTCCACAATCGCAAGTTGCAGATTGAAAATGGAGCCGGTCGATTTGACATAGTAGGTACATAAACCTGTCTGCCAGTGTCTGGACCTGAATTAGGATAACAAGTTGAAAAATACCCTGAGTAATAAATATCTGCATTAAATCCGGGTACATAATTCTAATATATTTTGCTTCATAGGTAAAATGGCTTGATAGTACCTATGGCCCTATTCCTACTGTAAAAATTGAAAAATATGGCACATTTTTCCTGGAATGTTTAGAAATTTCTTACAATCTCTGAAACTTTACTTTCATTCTGTGAAAATTTTTGCCTTATATTCTAGATTGGAACCATGTTTTACCATTTTGATTGCATTATACCTACTGGCATGATTTGGCCTAGGGCCAGGCTGCAGCAAATTCTCATTAGTAATAGCTAGTACCTACCTAATCTGTCTACTGTGTCTAGACTGTAATGTAAGCCTCACTCAGTTGCAGCAGAGTCACTTTTGCAGTTCTGCTGAATGTTTTTGAACTTACAACTTCTGAGTTTTAGGAAATAAGGATGGAATTCCAATTTTGAAGGTTTATATATTATTTTGATCCACCAAGACCACTTTTCTACCCAACATTGTTATTTGAGGCAAAAAATGAACTTCTTAAAGGCTTAAAACACATAGGTATGCTAACTTGCTTTGTTTGATTTCTATAAAGTACCTAATCACTTGGAAGTTGTATGCCTGCACTTTTCACTCTATGATTAAAATTAGACTTATAAAAGGAATAGGGTAAACGCGGTATATTCAGACATTGTAGGTAATTCCGTCACTTCTCTAGTTTTTCCTTTATATTAAGCTTTGTTTTAGTTCCATGCGTTCATTGATGGTTGAAATGGTGACGTCATACGTTTGCGTGTCGAAATACTGCAAAAACACTAGTTGTACAAAAATTAAAATTTGCTTAATTAAAAGCTTAATAGTTGTTGATTAAAAGCGTAATTAAGTAGTGTTCAATCTTCATTAGTGTTCTAATTCAAAGCCGTGTTGTATTCCAATACAGCTCACACAGCAAACAGAATTCGAACATGTGGATGATGGCATTACGTATCAGTAGAATTTGAAGCGCGGACATAATACGCCTCACCACGTGCTGAATATTGCCACACACAGTGACGGAATATAGGGATTTGGTAGGTTTCCATTCTAAAGGCTTTTAAATAAATATGGCAACATTTTGTGACATTTCGTTGTTGCTGGCGCGTAGTACGTTGTTTTGCGAGTCAAATAAAGCAAACAGTACTCGAGTAACGCATACGGTTATTTTTTTATAGTTTTTCATTTCTCGATGCGTCCTTAATGTGACGGAATATACCGCGTTTACTCTAGTTGAAAATTTCTCTCTTAAGTTGACCGCAGTGAACTAAACTTCATTATGTAATTATAACTACGCTACAAAGCAGAGTTTTCCATCATGCACACTAAACACGCAATTCAGAGTTCAGACGAGCTGACGAGCAGAACTACATATCACATGGGCCAGTGTGCAACTGAATTAAACACCTAGCTTCATTCCCGCCTCCCACTCGCGGTGCATTAACTAGCGGGATGATCATTGCGGACGGTAACCAAGTCCGACTAATCATTCGTATATTTAGGGCAAGAGAATGATTAATTATGTTGTTTTTGATCAAACAAACTAAAACTTTTTCTGTTTCTGATCAAATGTACAAAAACTTCTGATCAAATGAACGAAAGCAAACTTTTTGAAAATAATTCTGAAAGCGTAACGTCAATTGAATTCTAATACGGATCATTAATTTTAGCATCGTATTTCCAAAAATCAAATATTGCATTTCTTTTAATTGAAAAACATTCTTTTACATCAAAAACAATGAATTTTTTCTTACAGCTCCTATGATGACTGACAAATGACAATGTCACTCATATAGCTAAAAATTTTAAATTGAAAGATTTTGTCATTTTGAAGACTCCATTGATTACAAAACTTAAGTTTTTGCAAGTGTATTCAAGAAAAGTTTCTGAAATAGTAGAGACATTTCCATTATCATTCTGAAATAGAAGCGTCATTTCCGTTCTTATATATAAACAGGATTAATAAATACCTATCAAATCCATCCAATGTTATTCAATATGTGATGTATGAATGAAAGTTTAACTTTCATTCCTATGATGCTCATTCTTACCAGTTGAAGCTGTAGAATTAAATTAAATGAAAAAAATTCTGAAATTAAATTTTATTATTCAATACACTAGATGGTACATGCTGTAGAATTAAATTCTATTAGAAAATGTTGAATTAAACATCTGATTATATTTTTTAAATTAAAAATTAATTTTTATTGAATTAAATTGTATTATTAATACACTATATGGTACATGCTCTATGTTTTATATAATGAAATAGTTTCCCATTTTAAACAACGAACATTTTCTAAAAGGCACAAAACGTTCAAAAACTTACGATGGCAGACAAAATCATTCAGAATTAGAAGTGAATTTATTAAGAGAAATTCAACATAATAGGGCAAAAAAATGGAAAAAATTCAAATCTGGAATGTATAAATATGGGTTTTTATAATTTAAATAAACTTTCAATCATTTAAATCTCAGTATGGAATGTGAATCAAATCTATTTATTGTGAAACCAAGCTAGACACAACCAAAACAAAAGTGTGTGTGACACCATCTTGTAATATGTAAACATAGAAGCACAATGTGAACGTACCCAGTGAAACAGTGGCAGTTTATCTCATAATTTTGTGTGATATCGAAAACTTTGTTGGTATTGTCCAATCGTGAGAATTTTTTTGCAAATGTGAATGTGTTTTTTTAAAATTGTTTTTAGAATGTATTCATTGCAAAAATTTGTCCACTAGCCCAATGTTAATGACTAGTTAACTTGATTGAGGCGTTGCCAACAAGGGATTTGATGTCAAACCATGCACGATTTCAGAAGCGTGGCAGTTTCTAATGAGCTCAGTTTATCAATTTTCACTGCAGTGGAAGGTGGTGTAACGTGGTAGGTAGGTTTTTCAATCCATTTTCTCATCTCAACATGAGAATATATTACCTATATAGAATTCCACACTGCTTAGAAGTATGTTGAAAGTAGCACATGACATTTCATTAGGTACCTACATTCATTTGCTTAAAATTAACTGTTAGCATTATTAGGTAGCCTATCCATAAGATCAACAGTCAGCACTACTAATGATTCGACTAATGTTGACATACAATGGTTTGATATTTAATTCGTAAATAGGAAACATCTAAATGAGAAGGTTGATTCAACTTAATTTTTCATTAAGATTTTAGAACCTTCATTGTTAAATACTACAACTACAAGTTTATATGAAATACTATAAATACTATGTCAAGGTTTTATTATGCATTCGCATTGTATTACTGAATACTGACTTCAGATTGAATGAACTTTGGTTATTGACTATTGTGACTATAACTGTGCTTTATATTAATGAATTGCTTAGTTAATTTAAGAATATTTGATTTATTGTTGTATTAATGTGAGATGAAAGTGATTATTTTAGAGGTGATTATTACTGATGTCATTCAAACGATATAAATTGCTACAAAATATAGACTTCTTGAGGATATAGGGTATAGTTTTAACCAAGTGATATTGTGAATAGATTGCAGTAAAAAATCAGAAATAAAAAATTTTTCAGTTTGATTGTTCAGTCTTCCTAGCTTTCTATGTGAATACCATGATCTGTACTAATTTTGCCTTGACTTAGTCAACCTGCATAAATTTTTACTTGAATCAACGATTCATGTTGCAAAGCATATCTAACCAATGTTGTGGATGCTTCAATTACTTGGCTTGAAATACTTTAAGAAATAAATTAAGAGATATGTATACATTTCTATGTATATGATTCAATTTCATATCATTTTTCCTAACCAAGTGAGTTACATAAATCATTAATTTTCTTAGTTCCTTGTTTGCAAAGGAAAACAAGCTATTCCTGTATCCATAACAAAAGCTGACCTTAGTACCGTACTAATTTTTAAGCTTTTAACAGGTGTCTAAGGTGCTGCCAGCTGTCAGTGTTGCTCCTCGCTGGATCTCCACAAGTCATGCAGCTTCAAAGGCTGCCTCCACATCTGCTGAAACCTCCACAATCTTGGAGGAGCGTATTCTTGGTGTGTTTTATGATGAGGCATTATTATACATCATTCTAACTTTTTGAAGTGTATTATATATGAATTTTTACTATATTGATCTGAACATGCTAATTTTGATTATTTGCTGAGGGTTGGAATTGGGTTTGGAATCTTCCTCATTGACTTGAATTAGAATGTAAAACTGTGTTGAAAGCATGTAGGTATGTCCTTTTAGCTCTTCTATCCATTGTCTTGGTTGATGCCTGTAATAATGTTCCTGACATTGTGGTTAATGTACAATTATCTAAGTGAATCCTTACCTGGGCCTCAGGTGCTGCCCCAAAGACTGACTTGGAAGAGACAGGCCGCGTGCTGAGCATTGGTGATGGTATTGCTCGTGTCTATGGCCTGAAAAATATCCAGGCTGAGGAGATGGTGGAGTTCTCTTCTGGACTCAAGGGTAAGTTCTACTGCTCTTGAACCCGTTTTGTTTGTTTTTTGTGAAAAGGAATTGCAAAAGCCCCCCAAAAATAGTTTCTATCTGTATTGTGGAACTGTAAATTTTTTAAGAATTTTTTTGTCAATGGTAAGCAGATTCCTGTCTGAAAAGCCAAAAACTTCTTTGTAAGTTGAAGTTTCTGCTGCTTCATCAATCTGGTTGCTATTTGTGGTATATTATTTTTTTTTAATCTAGGATAATCTTTTGCACTGTTTTTTTATTATTATTAATCTTTTGCACTGTTTTTTTTATTATTATGAATCTTTTGCACTGTTTTTTCTATTGAATAGAATTTTTCAACCTGCAGAATTGATTCATCATGAATTTCTGCTTAGGTACTTAACTAATTTGAACTTATGTCTCTTGTGTTTTGGAGTGTAATAGGGGTGTGCTCAATAAAATTATTCACTTGTCAGCGAAATTGTTCTTGTGTATTCAGTCCCATTAAAATTTAATTTGTCTCAATTGCTTGTTCAGGTATGGCTTTGAACTTGGAACCTGACAATGTTGGTGTTGTCGTGTTTGGAAATGACAAACTTATCCGCGAGGGTGACATCGTGAAGCGTACCGGGGCTATTGTGGACGTGCCTGTTGGTGAGCAGATCCTGGGCCGTGTTGTTGATGCTCTAGGCAACCCCATTGATGGCAAAGGTCCCATTGAGGGCAAGAGGTGAGACTGCTAATCCCTTGTAATCCTTCCCACTGTACATGTTAGATGTGCTGTAAATGTTTTAAATTGAACTTTATCAATCAGGTAGTCTGTTGAGATAATGAGCATTGAAACCATTTACTATTAGAGATTTCTATATTCTTCTACATTTGTTATAACGTTTGCAATGGTCGCATTTATGAGCTTGCTATTAATATGAAATAACTAAAAGTGTTACGGCTCTTTCTGTTGGAAAGTTTCTTGAAATGCTAAAGCCTTGCAGAAAAATAAGTTTCAGCTTTAAAAGAAAAAAAACGTGTTTAAGTGACTGTATAAAATGCACGAATAAGAATTGTTACAGAACTGAGGAAATATCCAGAATACAATGGAAAAATTTTCGGTTCTGATTGATGCCACTTGAAATAAGCACATAATGATTCGCAGGGCCCGCGTGGGCACCAAGGCCCCTGGCATCATCCCCCGCATCTCCGTGCGGGAGCCCATGCAGACGGGCATCAAGGCCGTCGACTCTCTCGTGCCCATCGGGCGTGGGCAGCGTGAGCTCATCATCGGTGACAGGCGAGTGACTCGTGCGCAGTAGTGCTTTATACACGTTGTTTTCTCATTAATTTATTGTTCATCAGTCTTATATTCGTTGCTGGTAGCACGAGGTTATCATCGGTGACAGGCGAGTGACTCGTGCGCAGTAGAATAGTATACACGTTGTTTTCTCATTAATTTCTTGTTCATCAGTCTTGTATTCGTTGCTGGTAGCACGAGGTTATCATCGGTGACAGGCGAGTGACTCGTGCGCAGTAGAATAGTATACACGTTGTTTTCTCATTAATTTCTTGTTCATCAGTCTTGTATTCGTTGCTGGTAGCACGAGGTTATCATCGGTGACAGGCGAGTGACTCGTGCGCAGTAGTGCTTTATACACGTTGTTTTCTTATTAATTTCTTGTTCATCATTCTTACATTCATTGCTGGTAGCACGAGGTCATCATCGGTGACAGGCGAGTGACTTGCACCCTTTGCCACGTTTGAATGTTTGGTCGTAGCTGAAGAGTTGGTGTAATGATTTAGAATAACTACAGGGCTATTTTAAACGATAAGCCAATTTGATAAATTCGTATTTATTTAAGCATTAATTCAGAATGAATAATTTAAACTATAATACAAAAAATGATTAATTTTTTTTGTTACATATTTATTGATGTTTAAAATGTCCCTCTTGTGCTGCACGGCAAACGTCTAAGAAAAGTAAATGAAAGTAAATAAATGCTGTAAAGTAAAACTGTTTACTCTCTGACAAAATTTTTGCCTGTGTATATACTTAGTTTCCATTCACTCTAATTTGAATCAAATGTATGTTAAGGTAAGGCTTTCAATATGTAGGGACTTAGAATCGTAAGGTATTGCAAAACTGTGATGAAGAGGTCTAATTTAAATTGGAAATTATTAGGGTATATCCATGGTACGGTATATCTAAATTTAATTTGGAAATAAGATTTTTTTTTTTCATGTGCAATGCGGGTTAGAACAGTTCTTTCGTCAATCAGCACCCTTTGGCCTCATTATTACTTTGGGATTTGGGATAAAAGGATTCTGATATTACAGGGAGCCCATGCAACGCCGGGCTAATCTGTTAGTAGCATACGTTTTAAGCCTGCTCAAGTTACCTCTCTGCCGAGTAGAACCGAGAATAATTGCAGTCTAAACAATGTTAGTATTTTTTAACGATTCATTCGCTGATGTTGATGATTGTACGGTATTTTTTTATGTTCATTTATGGCTACCGGTACCGATTAGATTAGGTGAATTACTTCAGTGATTCTTTTGCAAAATGTTGAATATATTGCTTTTCCTAGTTTACGCATTGAAGTCCAAGTATTTTCAAATGTCAGATAAAAATTGCTGCGTTCTGTTGGAGCAGGCAGACTGGTAAGACCGCCATTGCCATCGACACCATCATCAACCAGAAGCGCTTCAACGACGCCCAGGACGAGAAGAAGAAGCTGTACTGCATCTACGTCGCTGTGGGCCAGAAGAGGTCCACCGTCGCTCAGATCCTCAAGAGGCTCACTGATGCTGGTGCGTCATTGCTTTATAAATTATGGCACCTGTACTTTCATTAGTTCTTTTTTCATGCGATTCCTTTCCTATATGGAGTTTTATTTTTTTTTTTCACTGCGATACGTTGAATTTGCCGTTTAGAAAGTCTGTCTTGTACCTATATGACACTTGAGCTTCTTTGTCAAGATAAATTTGTGTCGGTGTTTCCCCATTCGATAATTTGTTACCCCTTCTGGAACAAATGTCTTGACTTCAGCATGATATTTCTATCATACACTTGCGTTGCATGAACTGTAGCCACGTTATGTAGTCACATAATTTCATAATTTGAACATAAGGCACTCCTAGAAGTTTAAATTGCCAGATCCTATCAACGTGTTACGAGCAGTTTCATTTGCTCAGTTTTATTCAATTATTATACAGCAGTCGTCAAGATATTAGGCATTCCGTTGTTCTTTTAGGTTCAAATTTTATGAGCAATACTTGCACAATACTGAGGCATAAGTCTTGGATCGTGTGGTAGTAAATCTGTCAAATGTAACACTGCATTGTGCTGCACCATCACCTAATTCTTGAGAAGTTATCATTCTATTTTTATTGCAGATGCCATCAAGTACACGATCATCGTGTCTGCGACGGCTTCGGATGCCGCTCCCCTGCAGTACCTCGCCCCGTACTCAGGCTGCGCCATGGGCGAATACTTCCGTGACAACGGCAAGCACGCGCTCATCATCTACGACGATCTCTCCAAGCAGGCCGTCGCTTACAGGCAGATGTCGCTGCTGCTGCGTCGTCCACCCGGTCAGATCGAGTTGTGCATCGAAACATATTTTGTGTATAGGTACAAATTCTAATGAAATGCTTGGTGGAAAAAGTGTTGAGGTTCTAGGCTTTCACGTTCCATGACATCATTGACATGAAACATTCGTGCCTGACATTAATCTTGCATCGAAGCAACTTCAGTTTAGTAATTACAACATTGTTTTGTGTTTCGGCACTCAGGTCGCGAGGCCTACCCCGGCGATGTGTTCTACCTTCATTCCCGTCTCCTGGAGCGCGCTGCTAAAATGAACGAGGCCCACGGCGGCGGTTCCCTGACGGCCCTTCCTGTTATCGAGACCCAAGCCGGTGATGTGTCTGCTTACATCCCCACCAACGTCATCTCCATCACTGACGGCCAGATCTTCTTGGAGACTGAGCTCTTCTACAAGGGTATCCGCCCCGCCATCAACGTCGGTCTGTCCGTGTCCCGTGTCGGCTCCGCTGCCCAGACCAAGGCCATGAAGCAGGTGAGGCTGTAACACTTGCCTCGTTTTTATACCTTATCTAAGGTTTAACGAGCTCAGGCTCTCGACTAATTGCATTGATGTACCGTGAAGAGAGCCTGAGAAATTAATAGTTCCTGAACAAATTTCTTTATCGAGTTTTTTTTTATGTTGAAACCATTGTTGAAAAGTGTTGTCTCGATTTTATTCAGAACTAATAGCGTAATGTGAGAAATTACCGTCTAAAACAAAATTACAATTCACTAATTCTTGTGGTTGAAGAACAAAATGTTCAATTATTGTTGTGACTTGTGTCTCCTGCGATCTTGAGCATAGAATATTCTTTGATTAGTTGAAATGACACGTTACGAACCACTTTCATAAGGTTACTCGATTACGCACAAGTTACTGTGTGTATTCTCAAATAAAGACGTTCACAGATGTCGATACGCTGGCCTAACATGATGATGGAACACCTACTTCTTATTTCTCAGGTGGCAGGTTCAATGAAACTGGAGTTGGCCCAATACCGCGAGGTGGCTGCCTTCGCTCAGTTTGGTTCTGACTTGGACGCTTCCACGCAGCAGCTGCTGAGCCGTGGTGTTCGTCTTACCGAGCTTCTGAAGCAGGGACAGTACGGTGAGAGAACAGCATTGCTTCTTCTTTTACGGTTAAGAATGGTGATGATCTTTTTCAGACGCATTTTTTTGCGTAGTAACTGTCATCTGTTAGCTAGATTTTAATCAAGTTACAGTACCTACATCGGCCAGAAACGAGCTTTTAGCTTTGGATTACTCTTTTCTGCATGTCTATAATGTTGGCTACATTGTTGGCGTTTAGATTTGTCCCACTTCTCCGACCTATGTCCGACGTTTGTTTCTCAGACCTATCGGCGATATCTTATTTTCAATTTCAACTCAAGATCTAAATTCTATTTGTTCAATTTGCAGTGCCCATGGCCATCGAAGAGCAGGTGCCCATCATCTACTGCGGCGTGCGCGGTCACATCGACAAGGTTGACCCCAACAAGATCACCAAGTTCGAGAAGGAGTTCACGGCGCACATCAAGGCCAGCCACTCTGACATCTTGGCCAGCATTGCCAAGGAGGGTCTCATCACTCCCGAAACTGACGCCAAGCTTAAGAAGGTCGTCCAGGACTTTGTTGCTTCATTCCAAGGATAAATCACCCAGCAGTTTCTTGTGAATTGATCCTTGTGGCAGTAAACAGATTCTTCAGAGCTGTACTCTATATTGAGTCAATACCCGATACTTTCACCTGGAAATCTTGTCAAGATTTCGCGAAAGTTTGTTTGCAGCGTTGAACGGGACAACTTACAGATGTTACTGAATTTTTCAGACTATATTATACTAATTTATCAAGCTTCTCATAATTTTCAATGATAAAACATAGGGGCTCCAAGTTACAGTATTCGTGTCCCCACAATTGTACATATTCTTTTCAGTTTTCCACCAAGCAGTCCTCGTCACGTGGAGAGTTTAAGCATTCATCTTTATTAATAAAATATATTCTGAAAATTTGTATATTATTTAAAATTCATTTTTGTACCCAAGCGATCGGTAGATGTAAAAAGCTGTCTCAGTACTTTTCCTTCCTACTTACAAGTTAATGACGTCAGAGCGCACGGTGTAGAAACTAACTGAATCAGTCGTGCAAGAAGGGAAAAGCAAAACGACTAGAAATTTTTTTCCAATTGTAAGATGAGTTCACACGGATTACATGCTGCTATAAGTTTCTATGTGTAGGGAATTCGCATTAATATACTACTTACCTTAACACGTTGACTCCGAAGTGGTACATCTGCTTACCAAGAAAGTGAGTTTCTCAATGACTTAGTGGTATGTAATTCAGGGTTGCCAGATGGCAAAGTCCGTGAAAAGAAAAGGCATATAATTCGATATATACCAGTATATTTGTAGGTTCCGGTGTAAAAATTCCATTGCTTTTTTCGAATTTAATTAGTAAGTACCCCTATCATGAATTTTAGGCGGCCGTTCATATAACAAAAAAAAAAAAACGAAATAATAGTACAAGATGGAGCAATCGGATTTAACGTGTTAGGATTTCGAGAAGAAACTGCTAACATTAGTTGTGGTCCTCGAGTTGCCCGTACTGAAGTGCTGTGTTGTTCAGAAATCGGTCTTTCAAAAATGTTGCCTTGCCGTTGAATTGAAGCAAGATCACCAAGTAAGTGCCAACGAATCCAATCATCTGCGAAAGCAACAGTTACAAGTCAGATCTTGAATCATGGTCAGTTGATATTTCATACGGGCGATAGTTGAGCACAGTAATGAGGCTCCGAAATATAATTAGCAAATCTGTTTAAACACCGAGCGCACATTTGAAAGGTGTATGCCACGAACTTTAGTAATTCTCATGGAAGCCGTTGCTGTCTGATCACTAAATAATGATGCCTGACATCAATTGTCGTCTTTCTAGTCTATCTGCAGTCGCTAAAGACGCATTGGATGCCACAGATGATAAAATGACGAGAGCTATTAATTGTTTCCTAGAAAAAGTGAATGGTAGATAAGGCGAACACACTGACCCCCAAAAGTTTGGCTTTGGAGAGTGCGAAAAAACTGCCTGCTGTGGCTCCTGGCTGGATGCGCACGAACTCGAGCTGTCGCCGTGCCTGTAGGGAGTACAACTTACAAAAAATCGTGAAGTGCACAGAAAAAATCCTACATACAACGAGGCGTTATGTAAACAGACATTTTTGCAGCCATGAAAATAATTCCTACAAACATTTCAATCAGCAAATGATTTAATCTCAGGGCGATGCTTTTCACTTGTTTTGCCTACCAGTCGGTCCTGTGCTGAGTGGCTGAGCGCATAATTAACCTCGTACCTATTCCATTTCATAAATTCTAATTATGAAAAAATCAGCGATCTGTGATTTTTTAACGATATTACTAATAGTTTCGTTGATGAAAGTTTGAGAATACAGTTCGTACCTGATCAGCTTCACTCGGATCTGCAGCGATCAGCTGTAAATGGGCCAACTTCTGGATCACGCGATTTTTCTGGAAAAAGTAAGGTAAGATTCGAACATTTAATTCTTACTCAGACAATGAAATAAGGTTAAAACTAGAGTCGAACTAAGTCAGCGGCTACAACACTCAATTGCTGGATGTACCTGGCAAATCTTACGAACTAAATTATCTTAGTGTTTTGAATAAGTCAAATTTAAAGCACGTGTTCCATTATTAATCATTATTAACGAAGTGTGGTTTGTTAAAATAAAAATAATGCTGTAACTCACTCGATCGTGCAGCTGGTCAGCCGTGTGATAAAGTAGACCCAAAGGCATCAGCAAAATGACGAAGTAGAGAACGAAGCTCCAGCTTTGGTTTACAGTCAATCCCGACATAACGGAAAGAAATCCTACGCCAGCGCTAAACAACACGAAAGCTGCTGAGTAAATCAATGTGCAGAACCAGAAGAAGTTGTTGATCTCGTCCTGAATCATCGATAGTCTTAGGAGCTGAGTTAGGTCGATTTCTGAATATCCATCAGTAGAAGAACAGGTTGATTGTATTTGGCCTGCTGGCCAATGTCGAGGGGCCAGAATGTTTTCCTTAGAATACAAACTAATGTTGAACAGTTCCGGTTTCAAAAATGCACTTGAATGATCGGTGTTTAATTTGGATATATTTCTTGGCCTCTTGTGAGGTGCCAACGCGTGGGAATTCCGGTTATTTTGTGGGTAAACTTTTTCAACTAAGCCAACCCTTTTTCGCGAAAGTACTTCAAGTTTTCGTTCCAACGATCGTGAAATGTTTTCGAAAGAAAAAACCAAACAAGATTGACAAACGATGTTTATGCAAACGAGAGAAAAATAAACTGAGTAATTTATTAAAAGTTGTAGGAGGCCCGTAGCCCAAACGATCGGGGCAAAAGACTCCCACATTTGTTCACGGAGTAATTCTCTTCCTACTTTGAACTGTGTGTAGCCCAACACGACCAGCTCCACAATTAGTAGTGGAAAGAACAATAGTGTAATGTTTCCCACAGACTGTAGATTCCGATGTTCTTTTTCTTCTTCTAACACCTCCATGGTGATCCGAACCAGGTTTTGCAACGTGCTGGAGTTCCACCAAGTATGCAACGTGACGCACATGTACAAAAAATTCCCAAATATTGAAATGATGATGGCCGTCGTTTTCTCAGTGCTGGTCATTTGCACTGCGAGAAACTCTTGTTGGATTTTAAATTCAGCAAAAGAGGCAAGGATCGTGAAGCTCGTTAGGCCAATTAGAAGACAGGTGTTAGACCACCGATGTTTGAAAGAGGTTATTTCGATTTTCAACATTTTCCCCTTTCCTGCCGGAGGCACAACTTGGACTGGAGTGACGCCGATGATTTGGTCATGATAACAGTCGTCAATTTTTTCGTGCCATCGAATTTTATGTTCTGGCTTGGTTTCTTCATCGATTTCAATCAGGTTAATGGAGTAAGGAAAGCATCCAAATGCTCGCAATACTTTCAGCCAGAATACAACAACACTCAAGAAGGGAATTCGCAAATGAGTTTTCGTTGAATCTTGATTCATGATTAAGGAGGGTATTGTATGTAAAATGAAGAATTCCTGATGTAATAGAAGGCGTAGAGCCAAATTAGTTATCTGAATTCGCAGATGTCAAATTCATTGTGCAGTTTCAAAATTTTATTCCAATTAATAGGGATTGATTGTTTTAAGAATTCGTTGTGAGCTGTTATTTGATCATTATTGAGAACTCGGGGAGCAGGGCGTGGGCAAAATGTAGTCTGAAATGGAGGACTTCATTAGAATATAACTTCTATAGTGTGGCAAATTGAATTTTATTACACACTAGACGCCTAAATAAGTATTACCAAATGAATTAAATGTTGAGATGTTGTTCCAAATCTGCAATATTTTTACAATAATGTTCCAGGAAACCCACACAGTCTGTCGTTGCACGGAGAGACACCGCTTATCTATGAACGTTCAGCACAAGCTGCCATGGCTTATATCGCGCCGCAGATTGAATGGCCGGTGAGCATTAGATGAATTGTTTGCAAGGCTATCAAGTTCGGTAGGTGCAGCTTGCCCTCTGAAGTGACAGGATAAACTCACCTGATGACAGACTTAAGTCGCATTGAAGGAATATATGGTTTATCCTCTACCGCCTGACATTAGTAACCGAAGCAATATTGTCACAAGCCAACTTCCCAAAAAGGATACGTTCTATAGTGAGCGCAAAATGACTTGCACTGATGGTTGCCGCCACTTACGACAGCTTTAAAATGTTCTCTGTTGCGTACAAACGTCCTTAGGTTGCTAGACTGAATAGTTTAGGAATAATTTTATTTGAAAGATAGGTTCCAGGAGAGAAACATACGGCGGTAAAGGGTTAAAGCAAAATTGTTGAAATGAAGCCCAATATGCCTATCGGTGGGTAATGTCTGTAACGGTCGTCATATAAGACCGTCAGGATCAAACGACTAGCCTGAATTTTTGCGTATTCCAGGATATAAAAATTCACTCAGAAGCAAGTATAATTTCGAAAAATTGATTGAAATTAATAGAGAAATTGAGCGCCCGCAAATGAATGTGGAACGTTTACTTGTTTTATTGTTTTTTTTTTATTTGTGTGCAAATGAATGTGGCAGAGAAGGTGCGTGACGAACAACTTCCTCAGATGTATTGAAGTTCGTTTTAATTTTGAATTCTCAATGTCGAGTAGAATGAACTGGTAATTTTTTTTCGGAAAAATGGTAAGTATTCGAAAGTATCTCTACTCGATTAATAAAATTACTAAAAATAATCGTAGTAATTATAGCGTTTAATTGCTGTAATAAATATTATGTTTTTATTTGCCTTCAAATTAAGGTGGTTGTTAAATCATAAACATTTTTGGTATTTCGATCGCTCGAAATTCGATTTACATAAAGTTAATTGACGTTACTTGCTCGAATTGATATGAAAATGCCCGGCAGTTCAACCAACCTAAAGAAATTATTAAATAAATTAGATTATGGTAAATTACGCCCTTGTTTGTCTGTCTGGCTGCTCCTCAATAGAATTAAGTCTGTTTTTGGTTTCTGACATTCAATATTATAACAGGGTTGTTTTGTTCGAAATTGTTCTCTTAATTTGACAAACTTTAATGAGTATGCAGGTTGGGGATAATCAATGTGGTGGTTTTGTGCAGTTAATGCATTGCTCGCCTCTCACGGGTTGCCTCACTTGCACCTCTACTAATTGCTGGTAATGTTTCGGTACTGTGGACAGATCGAGATGTGCTTAAAATAAGAAGCACCATGGTATTATAATTCTTGTTTTGACGATTTTCAGCCATCATTAGCTCGTTTGAACTCGGTTCTTCATAGAAGTTAATCCGTTTTAAAGCATAGCATAAGTATTGCATTGTTCGCAAGAAAAGTTATGTTTAAAGAACCCCGTATTGAATGGAGGTCGCTTATCATGAGGTAGTAGAGTCATATTGCACTAGAGGCGATTAGGGCTAAGCCTGAGATTGCCGGGTTGGTAATAAATTTGAAGATGGAAGGAAATACAAAACAGCTCGAATATACTTATAAATTTATTAATTATTAATCATTTTACTTGTTAGTTCGATTGGTTTATTCCAGACGGTGAATAAATATATAGATCCATGGACATCTAAAAAGCGCGCGTCTAATTTAAAAAGCATCTAATTTTCTAAATTATATTTTTTTAATTGAAAATATGGTATGTTCCTGAAAGATGTAATTGTTTATAGTCAAAAGATGATTCATGAAATTTTCCGGTTAAATGATTATTTAATATACATTTGAGAAGATGAACAGTCAAAGTAAAATGCTAGAAGCCTGAATCAGCCAGGAATGAATACTTTGAATAGGAATGAATACTAATGAATACTTTGGCTTATATTCTATCATATTTAAACAATAACAATTAGTGGCACCAAAGCAACGTTGCTGGTTATATTTACTGCATTAGGATGTTGCGCAAGTTATGGGTTTGTTATAATGACTTGAGTAATGTACATCGTATGCGACGGTTATATAAATTCAAAATCAAACTCTCCGAATTTAACAAATTTAATACATAAGATGAGTAGAATGCTCATGAGTTCGCAATAGGTTTATTCTTCCTCCATACTGTCATTGCTCCACAACACGTCCACTTAAGTTAGTATATAAATTAATTCATAAACTATCAACCGTACAATTTAATTTTTTGGCTGTCCAAAGCAGGTATCGAAATGTCTACTCTTTGGGTACACGACGTTTGACCCCCCAGCGGCTGGCGACGAACCCTTTGTTATCTTTTCACTAATGTGTCACACGTATATTTTATTTATACATGCTGAAAAGAGTGTGCTCATTCGACGTGTATATGGTTCCGCGTAAAATTTTCTCTTACGTTAACAGTACAACAGTAAAAATAATTCGCCCATACTCCTAACGGGTTGGTCGTCGGTTACTCGTCCTGCATCGCTGATTGGTTTAGACCAGCTAACCGATCCAGCAAAAATTTTGTCTTGCCGTTGAACTGCAGCAAGATCACCAGGTACGAGCTGATGAACCCCATCATCTGCAACAGAGATACATACTCGTATATGTCTGAGTCGTCAGTAGGAGACTCCCCTCCTACCGCAACATTACAGGAACATTCTCCATTGCACCATCCCTCACAGCGCCATACACACACCATCTTACACACCACCGGCCCATAATGCGCTACACACGTATACGATCTACCGCACCACATTCCCACACAGCGCTACACATACACGCGCGCACCACACTCTACAGCACGGATCCACAAATATACACTCCTCAGCAGGGGACTCTCATCTCCACACCGTGCCACACGCACCTCTGAGTTGATGTATACCATCCCTGTGTTGATCGGCTAACATAAATGCACAATATGAATAGTCAAACGTAGAAATTTATGTAAACATTTATTTAATTAGTACTGAACGAAAAAGAATGTCAACAGTCTCTCTAACAGCGGGTCTGGGAGTTTCTTCTCCTGAGAACATAGGCTCTAAGAGCGCACTCACGGCCAAGAGTTTCGCCTTGGAGAGGGAAAAGAAATTTCCTGCCGTTGCTCCCGGCTGGACGCGCACAAACTCTATCAGTCGCCGCGCCTGCTGGCGAAAAAAGTAACAAAAGGGCAGTGAATAATAGAAATAGAAATTATTTTCCATCATTTTTGTCAATATAACATGGCTTGTCTCCGTTTCGAAGCTTTGCATATTTTTTCGCTCTTTTCTTTCATTCAATATCCAATATCACTCATCATGTTCTTCACTAATAACTAGACAGCAGGCGGTCTTTCATCCTGGCATAGGAAATTTGCAATTTCTTCTAACGTGGGTTCGTTTTGCATGATTTTGTATTAGTTTCACGTTAATAACATACAGAGAATATTGTTATAGGTGCCCAGTGACTTGCATAAGGCAAACCATATTTACAAGTGGCATCGCAAGTCCTACACACAATTGCACTATGAAAAGCTGTGCTTGAAGTTGTGATCAAAACCGTTGTAACGATTGATGATAAGGAATCTGTGATTGTAGTTAAAGTGTTCAAAATTTTGATAAAAGTGTCATTAAACATAATACAAACTTGCTCAGCTTCAGTTGGTTCATCTGTGAACAGTTGAAAACGGGCCAACTCTCGGACAAGCAGATTTTTCTGGAAAAAAACTACAATGAAGACATGAGATTATGAAGATTGACGAGAATATCGGATATAAAATATATCTATTCACTGGATCAAAGCAGGCTATTTTCAATTTTTAAAATTTTGTTTAAGGTGATAAAAAGATCATTTTGATCTTCTTTTCCTAATTGAAACTTAGAATAAACCACATAAATAAAAACACATCAAATTCATGTTAATAAAGGCAACTCAGCGACTC